TACAGTGATAAATGAGATGTCATTGTTAAAATTCAATAGCATAGCGAAGTTTGGTATTTGTAATTTATATTAATGGTATAAATGTCGAACTCTTGAATTCTTGGGCACAACATTCACACTAGTCATTGTCAAAGCGTTTTGTGGTTCATCCGTTTTTTTTTTCATTCACATTTGAATACGCATCGGAATGTCATTCGATTTGTAGCCAGACATGGCAGCATTACCAACAACAACAAGAAAATTATAAATTAGAATCTACAGCGACAATGAAAAGAAAATGTAGTGAGAGAGATAGCGACTAAACATATCATCTTTAATGGAGGGTACTTTCTTATGCTTGAGTGAACGCGACCATTAATGAAATTTTGCTCTGCTCATCAAGTTGCGCAATTACACCGGAGGAAAAAAAGATAAGAACCGACAAGCGGTGTTTAATGATCGGGTAACACATTAGCAAAATCATTTGCAACTGCCGTCACCACCACCATTGCCGCCGCCGACGTCGCTGCCATCACCGCCAAAACGATGAAACGATTGAATATTATTACGAGTGAAACAATTGTAATGGAAATAATTTATTTCCAGTTCAAAATGGGTAAACTGATGCCAAAAAGTGTGCCTCACATCGGTGAAATTCATACTCTCCTAAAATGAGCTTATAGTAATGAATTCGCTTCAAGCTTTTCGATCGAAAAACCTTTGAAAAAAACACGGATAAAGACGGTTACATCCTTGCTCACGACAAACGATCGCTTGAGCGAAACGAAATTTTGCGATTTATTTCTACGAATTCAATAAATGTAATTGAATCTGTCGTCCCGCTAGGATTTTTCTTTATTTGTATACCGCACATTCTATATTTACTTTATACGCTTGTGTGTGCTTTTTTCTCTCGAATGTGGAAAAAACCAAGGAAAATAAAATGCCAATTGAATTGAGGTAAGGATTTGGATTTTTATTCGAGCTTTAGCGATTGAAGGTAATGCAAAAATCAATAAAATCGGCTCTCAGGAGGCCATACAAATCGTTTCAGCTGGTTTGTAAACATTGCGAAAATATCAACTTAATGCATAAAACCATAAAATACGGATTGCCACCATGAAATTCATTTATCCTCGCGCAAGTAAAATGCTTACAACGGATTCAAGTCTACACTGATATTGTATTGTTGTTTATAAAATTGCCTTGTAATAGCCGAAAATAACCGAGAACCGACTCTCGCAGTGCGTCACATTTACTATGAAGCATGTGCGTATAGATAGTACAGTGTATGTTCTTGTATAGACAGTTTGGTGTCAGTTTACAATTTAAATACAGAAAACTTAAGCTATAATTTACATTCATTCGTCAGAGATAATTGACAGCGATTTGCAGAACTGTAAAGGATTAATTTTCCCGCAACATATGCGAGCATCGGTACAAGAACTTAATGCAATCGATACGCTTGTTGAAATAAGTTAATCATTGGTGTGTGCAATTAAATTGATTAAGTTAATCGTAAGTTGAAAATACAGACAGACACTGGCATCAATTAACATCATCACATTATTCAGTGTGACGTGAATGAAGAAGATGCGAATCACGCAATTCAAGGTTGATTATTTCCGGATGATCTCGTTTCCGATTCAAGTGAAATTGTTCATATATCAAATATATCTTAACTCAGCCATTTCACATATTTTATGGTTTTGGCGAGGAGTTGGTTGGAACGCTGATTTATTGTATGTATTGCCGCAAGTAATAACTAAGCAGTAATGATGACGGCACCGGCAGTTGAGCATACTAAACCGACCGTGAATCATGGAGACAAGAATAAAATGATATTTATATTTTATAGGCATTTTGCGCTTTTATGCGTTTCCAATAAACGGCTTTTATCGACATTTAACGTTGAATTACATGTTTCCTTCGACCTTTCTATCTTTCAACTGAAAACTTCGCAAACCTTCTTATATATGGTTTTTTTTCTTCTTCTTCTTGGTTCAATTCAGGCTTTATTTATAAAGCACATCGAAATATTTACCATGATAAAGTAAGTCGAGAATAAAAAAAAGTGATTTAAGCGTTCGCATGCATGCAAGTGAATGAGAGTGAATGAGACATTAAATGTAAATAAGCACACCTTGATCGTTGTCTTGAATTATTAAACAAAGGTTAGCAAATCAGTTGGCGTTTTGTGTGAGTGTGGAACATAAACTATATTGAATTTGTGTAGTCACTTTTTTCACCGTATTTTTTTTTTTGTGTGTGGATTTTCTGTATGAAATACAATACCAAATTACCTTCTTGTGAGTTTATAATAACCACGTACAGATGATTTGAATGAAACTGAAAATGATAATGAACCGTTGCAGCTGTGAACCTCAGCATCATCCATATGCACACGGTGAGTGCAGCTTATGGATTTTACGTTCTTTGTGAACAATAGACTTGGTATATGATAACTACTGCTCTGTCTGTGCACAGTTTCGTCTGCCGTTAAAAATGTAGTCGTTTCGAAGCGAATGGTGAACACGAAATACAATAGAATCGAAGGCCAGGGAAAGTGAACAGCGCTTTGTAAAATTACTCAATCCCAGCTCGTTTGTACAGTTTTTTCATTTGGTAAAAAAAATTCTACGCCAATCCGAAACCATGTGCATTCGTTCAAATGCAATTGAAACGATGGATTCATCTGGAAATTGCAGTTTCCATTTTTCATTTGCATCAATTTTGTGTTTTAATTTGCAAATGCAGAAGTGATGATGAATAAAATTCACAACGAAAAAAAATTAGCTTAAAACACGCACTGTCTTTGTTCTCTTTCTCTCGTTCTTGCTTCAGTCGCTCACTTTTGCTTTCGTTTTGCCCCTTTTACGTACGTACTGTTTGCACACATGCACAATTGACTTTGCAAAAAATTTCTTTTTTCTCTCTCTATCTCTGTCTCTCTCGATTCGTACCCACACACATAGTAATTTCTATTTATTTTTCAATTAACCTTGTTCAAAGCTAACGGGAGTTTATACTTTGTATAAAAGGCGAGTGAAAAGGTCTGAATGTGTACACGTTGAAAATAATGTAGTTCATTTGGTATGTTATTTGTGTTTTTTTTTTTTGCTTTTTCTTTCGTTTCATTTGAGTAGAAAATTTTGGCGAATAGTAATTGTACTGATGCGAATCGTTTCACATGAGTCAAAGGTTTGTGTTTACATGCTTTATCATGGGCTTTTATCAATTTCCCATGTGGCAACATTGCATGAACGAAAAAACTAATTTAATCCAAAATTGTTCGATGAATGCCGATGAACGATTTCAGCATTGCTGACAAGCCAAAAACCAAAATCCGCGAAAGCTATACAAACACCCGCGCATTCATTGCACAATCAATTTGATCACATAAATGCTTTTGATTTGCACAAAACATTGCTTGAATAATAATGCCGAGTTCCATTGTATGGAGTAAGCGGGTAAAAAGGCACACACGCATGCATCGCAATCGATTGCATCCCAAAGTATTGTGGGCAAAGTGATGGAATCTGTTTTAAATCGCAAGGTCACAATCAGAAATTTCAATGGAATTACAATCCTAAAACGAATGGTTACAATATTAATTTAAAGGTATTCGCATTTACATTTGCATTGGGTTTGAGTGCATTAAATACTCAAACGAGTTTAAATCTGTTATTAAAGCGCATTTTCCTGTGAAATACTGACGTCTACATTGCTAGCGATTTTTTTTCCGGTTAAATGCCTCTCCTGTTTGCATAATGTCAATTCAATTTATTTTTCGAACTGGTACTGTTCGGTGCCACGAGGGATGTTGATGAAATAATGTGTGTTAATTGATTGAGGTTTTTGTTGTTTTAGCGGGTTTTTTTTGTGTGATATACACTTGATTGCCACTGAATTTATTATTGTTTAAGTACAGCACTGTATGTGTGTGCAATTGACTCCAAACTCATTATTTAAGTTCCAATTATCAATTATTCGATGCTGCAAGCGATGAATACACACAAGTGATTAGCAGAGAAAGAGAATGGGTCAGAATAGCAAAAAAAATCGATGCCCATCGAGAATAATAAATAAATTGGTTACTTTGATGTGATGCGAGATGCACCAAAACGATAAGGCACGTAATAATTATCAATTTACCACTGCATTTTCTCGGCGATTCTCGGAAATTCATTTTTCCGTATAATTAATGTTGATGGTTACTGTCAATGCTAAACTGCATCAACTAATATTGACTTTGTTGCTGCCATAGGAAATTAAATAAACAACAACAACAACAAAAAAGCACACGGAACTTTTCAATACAAATTCACTTGTTCGGAATTTTGCAAACATTAACCACTTCACCATTTATAGCATCAAGATTAATCTAAAGATGGAGTATCCATTTTAATTGTTTGCCTTTTTTGCTCACGAACACAGATGAGATTTGAGTGCAGCATATCACATTTCAGGGCACTGCATGCCGAGAATGCATAAAATAGATATAAACTCATCTGCACGGGCAATAAAATGAGCAGCAATCATCCTTTAAGTGATCAACATAAGTGGAAAAAAGAACCTTCTGCAAGGAATGGATTTTTTTTTCTTTCTTACAAAATGAGCAGCGATCAATTGTCAGTTTTATTTAAACACACAGTGTGTCTGTTTGTGTAGTATTTTTGGAATTATTTATGAGTATTTGCACATTGATTGTTGCGTACCAGAAGAAACAACATCATTTTGAAAAAGAAAAAAAAAATACAAGGCCACACCTGTGTATATATGAATAATTAAATTTGGTATGTGCGCGAGTTTTTTAAGCGCGAAAAAATTACCAATTTTCGCATGGAACATATAATTGCAGGTCCATAAAGCATAAATATATTGAACCAGCGATGAAAAAACGAAGTCAAACTCATTGAAGTCGCCCGTAAATCTCAACCAGTTTTCTCATTTACATGCATATCGTACAGTGCCAAACCATGGTGGTTGTTTAAAAGTGATAAAATACACATTGAACGAGCTCAGTCGTCGTTCGCAATTCAATCGAAACATCGACAACACTTTTATTATCTCCTTTACTTTTAGTTTATTGTTGTTGGTGCTGCCATTTCGCGTCGTCGCTTTGTGCACACGATTACCGAATGCGGTATATTTTTTGCTATTTATAAAAAAGTCCACCATATCTCTCATACAGGTAGATTTCGCGGTTTGAATGTAATAAATGACTAAAATATTGTTGATCACGTGAATTAAAAAAAAGTCAGTGATACGACCGAATGTGTATCAAAACATTATAATCAAATTACCTCATTCACTTACGCGCGGTGTGGTGCATTTATGCACACGAGAGAATCGAAGAATCGTGCGATTCAAGAGAGAAAAGAAAAAAAAGAAAGACGCAATTCGAGCGCAAAGAAAAACGAAGAAATGTTGAATGATTATACTGTTACCAGTTGGGTGCGAATGCGCTTGTTTATTATTCATATTCATTGTGTGTGCACTTCGATGTGCTCCACAAAAAAAGACAAATAAAAGTGAAATAAACATAACAGTGCACATTTGATCGCGTACACATTTGTTCGCATAAATAATCTCTTGTGCGCGTTCGCTCTCTCTCTCTATTTGTTACACACATACACACATTGTGTGCACTTCTAAATGCATTGCGGTCGACGCCAACACATGCCGCGAGCTTTCAAAGCACATGTACTTCAAAAAAATCTATAGTAAAACGGCATTCAATACACGCGCACCGACTCGCTTTTTGTTGACTCTTTTTTTTGTGATCCATTTCACAAATGACAGAGTGCTTCTTACAGAAATACTTCGATAATAAATGTGGTAGAACATTATTTGTTGAACTGCAACAAAAAATAACAGAGTCATGCCAGTTTTGGCAACTATCCAAATATGATATGTGACAGCTCATTCGCTGGTTTTAAACTGGAACCATTAATGTTGTATAAGTGACACCCTGTTGCCAATCGCGCATTCAATTTTATGTTTCAACTTTTTCATTTTCTTTGATACGCTTTTTCTTCTTCTTCTTCTTTAGCGAAGCAGTAGCATTAAAAGCAGCGGCATCAAGACAGTTGCGAAAAAAAAAACAACAAACAAGTCATTTGTTAACGCGCAAACAGAGCAGTGCAAGTGCTCGAACTGACACAGTCATCGAAGGAATTGCAAACGAAACAAAAGGTGCTCAATAGACTCTTAACACTCTCAACGGTAAAGTACCACCGACGAAACGCATTAAGTGGTAAGAGCATCGAATGATAAAAAAAATTAAAGAACACACACATTTACCAGTGTAAAAAAAATCGAAAGTGAGTGTTTAATATGCGATTATTATTGCGAGAATATTATTGAGAAAAATAAAACAGTTTGTAAACGAGATAAAAAAAAAGAGAGAAGACAAAAAAAGGTGAAGAGAAATAAAAGGAACTAGAACTGAAGGATAACCGAACAAACTGACAATTTTGACAAGAAGATCGGGAAAAGAATTATTCCAAAAATAAAAGAAACAAAAAAGAGCACGGTCGTCGTTGTCGGCAACATCATCATCAGTGGTTAAGCCGTCGCTCCTTATATAGTGTACAATAAAAAAAAAATCGAAAACAATCTTTTGGTAAATTACGCATAAGACAATTTAGCGAACTCGAAACACGTTCTGTATGTTGTTGCCTTTTATTTGTTTCTCATTTTTGGATGCGAGTACGATTTTACGCTCAGTTTCGATTTGAAGGTGATATGCTCCGGGTGCTATTCTTGACGAGTAAACAATATGTCATTTATTTTGAGTGCTGGCAACATTTGAGAAAAGATTCTACAAGGAATTGAGAGTGAATGATTTTTTTTTTGTTGTTTAGTTAACAGCTAAAATAAACACTAAGATTACAATCGGTATTATTTTAAAGAAATTTTCATTAAATCACCATTAAATTGGGTTAAACTAATAGAGAGAGTGAGTGTGAAAACTTAAATAATAAAGACAAAAATATCAAGCAAAGGAAGCATACGAAAAGTGAGAGTGTGAGCTTGGTATACGGTGATTGGTTGCGCAAGTTTAAGAACCACCGAACAAAACGGTATTTATAAACAATTCTATAAAAGAGATATAATATGTATGACGCTCAAACAAAGTAGTTTGAAATTGAAGTGAATAAAAACACACGCAGCCGCCAAAGCTAAATAAATTTGTTAATGAAATCGTTGAAACAAGGAAGCAAAGATAAATTAAAAATAAACACGAACAACTCAAATAGAAGAACATCGTCAACAACAACAACGACAAAAGTAGCAGCAATAGCACAAGAGATAAAATTAAAAAAAAGAATGGTAAATTAATTTGGTACTTTAGCACAATCTTCTCATCAAATATACATTCTGTTTGAAATAAAAATAACAATAAATCCAATTTTTTTTCTTCTGAAAACGCTATGAATGAGTTGAAACAAAATAAATAGCCTTTAAATTTATTGTCTACAATTTAGTATACGTGCAGAGCGTATACCACTTGAGTAGTGTTATTCGTGTATAATTGAGTCAGTGCAATTCATATAATAGCAAAATATTGTGTTTGCTTTCTTCTCCAAAATGTTACCATTTAAATGGCAAACGCTTGTGCACACTCTTTTCGAAAAGTGATTTTTTTTCGTCTCGCAATTCGATTCGGGTACCGTTTGTATTTTTCTCTCATGGTACAGTTTGCATGGGATTAATATCGAAATCGCACTTCAATCGGCTGTAATGCACCAATCCATCTAATTAAAGCGAGCAACAAGATTTTGTGCAGCAGATAAAATGCCTTCGTTTCGAAAATATTGGGCACGATTCCAATCGATCACAAGTGATTTTCAATGGATTTTCGATGTGTATGCAAAACGTAAACAACACAATGTTTGTGAAATCTCCAGTGAACCAATAATGTTTGATGTGTTCTCGATCAAATACAACAACCTCTGTTGGCTTAGCCAACAATCGTTCAAGAAAATTTGTTATTTTTACGATGTTTTTTAAACAACATTGGAAACGATTCAATCTGAACATAACCAGATTCTTAATCGAAACAATCAAAACATTTTAACCATGATTATAAATTAAGTTGCGCGCATTGTTTTGAATGGTTATGGTGATGAAATAACCTGTTTTTAATTTCATCTCGATTTTCTATTCAGATTTAAACCTCCAAAATATATGTCTAATTATTTAACTTTGAATGGAAACAACACGATGACATAATATACCAATTGATCTATTCAACTTGACTCCATTTCATTCATTGCGTGGTTTGCCGTGGATTTTATGGATGTTTTTTTTCTGCTTACTTGTTTGTTTGTTTATATTTTTTTGTTTTATTGTAATTCATTTTTCATTCACAGAATAACGTAGTATTTGTGTCATTCCTGGTGCTAACGATAAGCATTAGCCATTTCGGTGTCGGTGTATCTGGTCAATACGTTCAATATAATGCGAATGCTCAAGAAAACCAATCAGTGGCTGATAGACGAATTGATACGGCCACCGAATATGAGTATTATGACGATGTGATTGAGGACATAAGTACAACACAAAGTCTACCAACGACAACAACTACGAAAGCGACAACAACAACAACGACCACAAGCACGTCAAAACCAATCACATCATCGTATCGTATTTTGACTACCCATCGAAACGCTTTCCGTCCGAGCAATTTCAAAAAGAAATTCGATGTAACAACAAAACAATATCATGCCGATAGTTATACCGAAGCATCGAACGAAAATGCATTTGTGCAAAAGGAGCCAAATCAATCGAAGCAATATCAACAGCAGCCGCCGCAACAGCAACAACTTGCACCACCGCACTTACGAAATGCAATAGCTGACATCAATCGGCGCACGAGTGGAAAAGAATATGCTCAGGAAAAATCATCATCAACATCAATCGATTCGAATAATGTTAACGGCAGTGGTAATTACTTTTCGAGACGATACGCGCGGTTCCTATTCAAACTTCGTACCGGATAGTCACATTAAATACGCTCATTAAAACCACACAATGGGTGACTTCAGTGTTGAGCAACAGCAAACATTTCTCTGCTCTTCTTCATGTACTATTTTTTTTATTTCGTCTGAACTTATCTTTTTTTTTCTCTGTTTTACTGTTACGGTTTTTTTTTAATATTCTTTGCCACAAACAATCATAATTTTTCTGTAATAGTTTCGAAGTTTTTCTATGAGAAATACATTTGAAATGAGAATTAAATCAGATTTGCATTTTTCATTTTACTGCATTCAATTCAATCGGAATACAGTTTTATTAGCCTTAATTAAAGAGTTTGCTGTCACTTTTTTCTCTCTTTCTCTATATACCTACGCAAGTTACGAATTTCTATGCACAATTTTTTTATTATGAACAATTTTTTTTTTTATTTCGTATGCCAATCCCTTTTCGTTTTTTAGTTTTATTTTAAAGTACATTTCTCTCACTCTGTCATTCAGTAGTTACTTACCGAACCAACTTTTTTCATGAATGAAAGATTGCTATATGTGTGCATTGAAAGTTGTGGATGCATTTTCCGTATAACTGGCATCGTGTTTTGTGTCGCGATTTGTTCCGAGAACGTATATTCAATGAATTTAAAATGTAAATATTTGTATCAGTCAAGCAAATTCTGTCATGAATGAAAATTAATGGAAACATAGCGGAAAATGTGGTGAGAAACAGTGAGCAAACCAAAAACTTTTTGAACCATCGTAATATTTTTCCCTGTTTGGTTTCGCTTCTCTTCAAATCATGCTTACGGGAGAATAAAAAACTCATGGAATGAGGTCAGAATGGAATCAGAATATACAGGTTTTTCTAGTGTTTACATTTTTGTTGGTCTTTTTTTATTTCTTTCGAAAAAATTGATTTTCTGTGTTTTCGATGCATGTAAATTAGCTCAACTATTTTGCAATTTCAAGCCAGATTTCAAGTCGGACCAACGACTAAAATTCCAATAAATAAAGTGTCGGCATATAATGAAGGTTGACTTCTATGTTCATTATCGAGTTTTGAGACAATTTTAATGTTTATTAATTTTGAATTCAGGTTAACATTAAAATGCATGCTCACTATAAAAAGAGACGAAACGATATTGCTAACGGGTTTCAACGATCATTATTTGAGTATTCAAGCGGATGAATTATATGCTTTCACGAACGAAATATGGTTATGCACGCATATGCATGATGGTATGATTGAAGGCAATTCAAAATACACATTCGACATGTACGTCATTTGCGCGCGCCCACTTCCAATGAATTGTAATTAAATTTCATATGCGAAAACGCTATTTACAATTTGGATATGGTTTCAACACATCAAATATCCGTGCGAAAATCGTCAATATTTCTCTGGTTTTTGTTTTTAAATATTTTGATGTCTCGTGGCGTTTCAATTCACAAGCGGAACATTTCACGGAATTTATTTCGATGCGTGCCGATTTATGGACAATCCATCGTCGTTCTTGAATATTCCACAGTCATGTGTGTATTTTCCATTATATTATAAATTTATGCATCGCTGAATGTTTGAAATTAATTCAACTGTTGGTTCGATTGGAATATATGCAAAATTGGAATCTTGTTCAAAAACCAATATTTACGCAATGGAAATAACACCAACGCTGGAACGTAACATACAATCAATTATATTGAGCCAACGAATCGTATTATATGGGTAAGTAAAATGTATTCCATCAATATGTCTCCCATCAAAATGGCAATCAAGCATATAAACTTAAGTGGACATTTCATAATCGACCATCTTTTCCACTTCCTTCTCGATACAAAACGGGAAATAAAAAGAAAAAAACTTTTTTTAATTCCTCAAAGTAATAATTTGACGACGTATTTAACCGGCATAGAGTTTGACAGTTTGGAACATTTTCGATTTCTGTTGATAAGTGAATCTATGATTTATATGCTCAGTGACTAATTGCGATAACACATTTTGTTACGCATACCGCTAGTTTTGGTTTAGTGAGCAACATGAATTTTGAATGACATCATGTTCAATTACCGATTTCGCTTGTCACACCAGATCATTTATTTTCTTTTTCAGCATATGTTACGATCTTTTCGCACACAATCTATCCAAATCAATAGACTTAACGAATGAGATAATTAGACAATTGACAGACAGGCTGTGAAAGTACATTTCAAATTCAGACTGTGAACGATAATGGTTTCGAATCGTCAGTGTTTGAGAAAGGCGGCAAAAATATTGCGAACGAAATAAGAAGAAAGAATATATTGTTCTCATCCCATTGAAAACTTTTACCACTTTTTCACATTGAACAATTGCTTATTAAAAGAAAATAAAAGTATAATTAACGCTTCAGCGTAACATTGAGTGTTCTTAATTTGTGTGTGTATGAGTAAAAAGCTTTGCGGGGCCAAAGTTTTGACACAACCAAAAATCGAACTTTATGATTTTTGAATATAGACTCGTCGGAAATGGGTGTCTGTGAGAAAGAAAGAGCAAAAAATGGCATATGTCAAGTAAAAACAACGAAGTTTTTAGTGGAATCAATGTCAAAAATGTAAAAATGAAAGAAAGAGCGAGCTAGCGAGAGAGAGAGACATATTATAAACGAGAACATAATTTGTGCCATGTTCTTTTGATTTTTTTATGAACATTCATTGCACAATATATTCAATTTTACTTAAAAAACTTGCGATGTTCCTTTGAAGTATATTTGATTTTGTCCTTCGAAAAGTTTGAATCTAATTTAATTTTAAAACTTCATTATAAATCCATTTCATATTTACAAAGTGCAGTTGCGTTTCAATTTAATTCCAAATTTTCATTAAATTCGCTCTTTTTTTCTTTCGTCTTTGCAATAAAATAACGATGAAAAGTTAATGCGAATAGCTAAGCACTTACACATTTGCATATTGAATTTTAACATTTCGTTTGCTAAAATAATTAATATTATATTATGGAAACTTTAGTTCCAGCCGAGAGGAAATTAATCCCAGAAAATTAAACATACACATGAAAAGGTTCTTGTCTGCGAAATAATCAGCATTCTGCAAACACTTCGGACTTGTGTTTTGCCCATTTCAATTATGATATGGTTTTGATGTCGAACTATCAACAATGAAGAATTTTTGATGGTTTTTTGGCGTAAAATTTTATTATAACCGAAGGCTACTTTTTATCATTCCGAATATTTGTCCAAATGTATTCAGAGCATTAGTTTGTCGAAGCGTTCATGTGCATTCCATTCAATTTACATATGTATATGTGAAAATGTTCTACATTATTATTATGACTGATGGATACTAAAATATTATCCCGTGCAATGGTGTTGGCATTTCGACCCGGAAACATATGTTTCAATCATTTGGCTCGCAGGTGTATCACACAGCACTAAAAATGGGGAGCATTCAAAACTTACTGTGTTACTTACCACCTAGCATATCTAGCATGTGTTGCCACGGAATATCATATTCCCATGCGATTAAATAAATGACTCTTTCATTGATGTTAGATTGATTTTACACGGAAAAAATGCACATTCTTAATTACAACAGAATCTGTTGAACAGATGACTTGAATATTATCAATCCCAACGGTCCAACGCATACAAAATCCCAATAAGCTATTTACAACATTGTCATTAAATTTAAATGTAGAGACAATTTTCAATTTGATTCTGATTCGCTTTAATTCGCTCTGAGCTATGTTGGGAATGTGCTGTGATATCACGGCATTAAGTGAAGAATGAAAGAGAACGAAAAGAGTGAGAGAAAGGGGGAAATAAAACATTTTCCATGGCAGTAAATTCCATATTTCCTATACTAATAAGCTCGGAAAACATTTGTCGCTTGTCGCTGCAATGAATCATCGTATAAATCACAAATTGATTTGAGTCAGTTGTTTTCCAAATGGTCACATCTCGTTAGTAGACATTAAACACAAGCTCACACACTCAGACGGGATCAAAAATAAAATAAAAGTTTTTTGTATTGACATGCTTCATCCGGATAGGTAAAGTATATGAATAAATAATACGTTTCGCATGTTTTTGTATCATCCAAAAGGCCGAACTCGCCAATAAATATGTGTATGGAATTTTTTTCGATTATTGAATTTATTTGAAAAAAATTTCACAAAAAATTGCTTTTTCCCGTTGTAAAAAGGTTTCGTAAATTTATTTTTGGCACAGTGTAGCACATACACACATTTCATTTAAATTTCATTCTTCATTATGGTCATTTTGGTTGACGTGTTAAAGATATTGTATTAAAATATATGAACATTGGCTTACTGACTCCACCGTTGATTCAAAAAAATTTCAACAAAAAACGTTCCAAGGATTATGGATTTTCATGGATTTGGATTCAACAATTAAATCTAAGCCAAAAAAAACTATGTAGTAAAAAAAAGAGAGAGCACGTCAAATGAACGGAGATAGAGACAGAAAGGAAATGAACACGCAAAACATGCGCCAGCAGAATAAATACAATAGTAAATGAAAACTGCATAGAAAATGCCACATCAAATAAATTGTCACATAAAATTCGGTTTACGACTTTAATTAAAATGAAACGAGATGGAAAATCAAAATTCATTGGCAAAACGCGAACGCTAAAAAGTTTGTCATTATCGTATAGAATGGGAGAGTAAAATGAATATCGTTTTGCATCGACACAATTGTCATATTGCTTTGGCAGCCTCGCGTTTTTCACTCCCGTTCGCTAGGCTCGAGCGTGTGTTCTTTTTTTGTCCGCTCTCGTTTTATTTGTTTTGTTTTTCACATCATTTTCCGTTAACAGCTCACAAAAACAAAGGCCGCACAAACTGACACGAACTCTGTGTATGTCGCTTTTTTTTTGGTGCACAGTGTGTTATTTGTATTCCATCTTTTGGTACAGTTTTCATTTTAATATGTTTTTGTTTTTGTCACATTTTTCATCGCTCGCTTTTTTTTTGCTCTCTTTCATCTCCGTTCTGTTTTTTTTTTCACGGTGACTCGGATCAATGTTTCACAATTCTCTGTGCATTGAATGTATATGAATGAGCAACGATAGCATGATAGAAAAAAATCTAGAATAAGTGCAACCAAGAATCTTATTACACGCATACCAATTCAGAATCTGATGAAATACATTGGATGCGCTAAAAATAGAAATCCAGCGAAATCCAGTAAAAATTACGTTGAAGTGGTCAAAGTATAAGTATCAAGTCAGATGAGTGCTTTTTTCCGGTCAACTTTGATGATTTTGACTTGATCCTTGACATAAAACACACCGAGACGCGGATGTGCCTGACGTCATTGCCAAACAAGCAAAAGCAAAATACAAAATCAAGCAATCATAAGATTGTCATTCGAATCAGTGTGCATGATAGATTGATATCGATATCAATGGTCCCGGCTCCGCTTTAACTGCATCGTATGTGTACACGTGTAGCACATTCTTTGGGAGCTCTATCTATTTCCAAATGTCATGCTAACGTATTGTTTTTCCTCGGCGGTGAATGAAAAAAAAAAACAATTTCGTTCTCATTAGGTATACAGGTATCATTTTGAATGCCAATTTTTCGCTATTTTAAAATGATCACATTTTTCCTCCAATCACACATACACACACATGCAAAACTATTGGAATTTCAATCAGACTGTTGTTAATACCAGAAAAGATTTAAAAATGACACAATTTTCATTGAACGCTTAATAATTGGAAATGTTTCGTTGACATAAAAGCAACAATGTACAACATCGCTTGTGGAATATTTAAAGAGAAAAAAACGAAACAAATAGAAAAAATCCACCAGCTTTCTCTCTCTTTCTCTCTCTCTCTCTCTCCTTTAATAGAATTTTTTTCTATTCATTGTTTATCTAGTCGTTGCAATCATGCCATTGTTGTCTTAGTATAGAACAAATGATTGTCTGTTTATCTGTCGGGAATGTAGAACGGAACAGCTTGAAATCAGTTACATAAGGTTGACAATACATGTTGTCTTTGAATTAAAGTTCAGTCATGCTGAAAATGAGTTGACCGATTTGGTTTTACCAAAGTCGCATTTTCTGTAAGAGATCAAATATGATGCCATCTATTCGAGCAAAAATTTCACGGTATCGAAAACACATCTATATTCAGATATGCTACCACACATATCCGGTTGTTTTGGAATTGGTTACAATTACTATGCTTTTACAATTTCCAAAGAGTTCAAACCATTTCACCCTCATTGCGATAGAGCTGGCGATACGAGCAATTAATTCCAAAAATTACGACAATGGTGTTGGTTTGACTTTTTGTACGATATGTTTTAGCATAGAAAGAGTTTAGCCATTTCTCTCGTTTCGAATTGTATACAGTTCTGTGTTTTCCATTATTTGATATTATTTGACATCAAGAAATGAAATATGGTTTTTTAGAAACCGCAATTTCACGACAAATGTTAATTAAAACCAAAATGTCTAGTTACCAACGCAAAATTGCATAAATAATTAACAATGAATATATTCTCAATGGAATGGTTTTTGTTATTCTATTTTTCATATTGCTTGGCTAAGATTTACCTGTGTTTTTTGACTCAAGTTAAATTGATTTCCTTCCCAAGAATTTGATGTTTAGGATTTGTTGAATTGAAACAATTCTATTTCTCCTTCCTTCACTCGATTTATTGTTTCAAAGCTTTAAAATATTGTTGCAAACAAACGTTTGTTTCTGTATCAAAATCTTCACGTCTCTTTCTCCCTTTGCCACAGGTTGAAATTTTTGAAGGTGATGGTGGAAAACTTTGTACTTTAGATTTGGATCTTTGAGTGTTGCGTGTGCGAGTGTGCTTGCAAAAACGCTTTGTACGAAATCACTGATTCAAATAAATGCACGTCATTCGAATTCGTTCGACAAGTGAAAACTTCCTATGCGGAGTAAAGTTGAGTATTATCGTTTGTATGTGTGGCCATGCATATGCGTCATTTATTTTATTATTTGGGTTATGTACACATATTATTTTGGATGTTTTGCGTTCATCTCATCTACTTCATGTTATTTTATGTGTGTGTGTGTGTCTCTCTTTTTTTCTCGTTAAATGTTTTACAGCACTCAGTCGCAATGAATTATGTGTTATTTTAAACACGTTGTAAATAATTCAACGGCTACTCTCGCTTTACTTCAGCCTCAAAGATGACGACGACGGCGTTGTGAATTTTTGCTACTGTTTATCACCGATTTTCACTTCTATCTTGTTGATTTTCCACCAAATGGTTGGTTTTCTTGCTGTCATTCGATGCAAATATCAATTTGTCAATTGTACTGGACCGTCGTACCGTAAAATTTGCATGGAAATTAATTCGACTAATCCGTTAATCCATTGCAACTTGGGCAGCCAAATGAAAAAGCGGAACGAAATGAAATGTTTCTGCTTGCCAAGAGATCGACTGTTAGCAATAATCTACGGAGTGCTTTGTTTGTGTTTGTGGGGCGTTCTATTCAAAATCTTTCATTTGTGTGAACAAATTTACACACCGATAAACTATTCACTTGGAGTTGATTGTGTTTTTGCAAATTTTCATTCAATAAACTATATTACGATGAAATGTTCACAGTTTTCTCACTGATGGCTGTTGTTCAGCATCGGATAACTTAAACAAACGATGGGAGCAACGGAGAGCACACAGCCGAAAAATGAACAAAGACCGAGCAAAGCAAATGCAAATTAGATTAGATCAGGACATTACTAACAGACATTACACATAGGGCACATTTCGGACTGTATTTATGCAGATGATAAATGACCGTTCGTCTGTCTGTGTCTTATGTGTGGTTTGTCTTTTAATTACTTTAAACACGAATTATGCATTAACACAATATACGCATTTTCATCTAATTGTCTAGCACCGTTTTTCCCATATCCATTAAATGTTCTTTTCGTTTGTAAATTACCAAAAAAACACCACTCAATCTCACTCACAGCGATCTAATTTTTTTCGTCGTTTATTCGCTCCCCTTTCACGTTTCGCTATGTCCTTTTGCTTTGTACGGTTATATAGCGTAAATTATGCAATGCATTTTCTCTCGTTTCATTCAGACCAAAGAAAAATTTCTATAAATTTTTCTCTTAATTGTATATTGTGGCGTATATACGTAGATATATTTCAAAATGTATGTTTGTTTTTATTTTCTTTTAATTCACAAAAATCCTCGTCAACTCAAAGGGAGATGAAGAGGGCGTAAGAAGAGGAAAAATAACAAATTGCTTATGCCTGCCTTTTTCGTTCTCGTGCTAATTTGAATTTTCGCTCAATTTCATAAGCGCTTTTATTTTTATAAGCGTCATAAAAATGTGTGTTTCCACTTGAAATTCCTTGTTGTCTGTCGTAAATTTAATGCATCCGAAGTGCATTTGTCCAATTTAAATTAAATACAATGTTTTTACGCAACGAGGTGTTTGTATCAATAAATGTCTTTGCGATAATCTTTGGTGGTCAACTGAATCACAATTTTAGTTTATTTTTATTGTTTAAAGAACCCAAACAAAAAAGATTTTATCTTTTTGAAAGAAATTCTTACTACTCGCAAGCATTGGATGCTCCAATGTCGAATTTATGTCGTTGTTTTTTTGTTGTGCAGAAGCGCAGGAATTTCGTTTGAAAATTATATGAAAGCCGAGTAGCGGCGATACGGACATCAAACAACAGAGCACCAAACAAATACTACTCACGGCAACTCTGTGAACTCTGAATATATCAAAAGTGATGTGATGTGTATGTTGAGTGCACACACAACGAATATATATGACCGTGTATTAGCTTGTCTGCTGACGAACTGAAAGCGAATCATTTGAAAAAAAATTCCCTGCTTGAGAATCCTCTATCTCTGTAGCCTGTTTTGTTGTTGTTTTCCTTTGCTTCATTTCGTTCTGTTCTGCTTTCGTTTGTTCGCACAAAAACCGAAATTGGAGAGAGTGAGCGAGAATGTTACGTGTATTTTTAGTTCATGTGCATTGGATGGGCAAGCATGCGCACCGTACAACCGTTTGGATGGAGTCCAGCAGCATTCCACACACGTTCAACATGTTCTTTCAAGCTGCATCTGCTGGTTGATTTAGTATGAGATGTTGTGAATACGTGAGCAAACATCGAAAACTTTTGCCCATTCAGTAAATATCGGGAATATGATATTGCCTTCTTCTTGTTTTACGACATGCTAAACAAATTGTTATAATTTGAAAGAAAAACATTATTTGGATAGGCGCACACGCACACACGCCAGACGGCTTATTCGGCCAGAGAACAACGATGACATCTCAACTCAAAATGATATAACACTCGTAAAACGTGAAATGTCTTTATTTAATATTAATCATTTCATTTATTTGCAAAATCACACTTTTCTACAACTTCATATATATGCTTGTATTTATTTAGTGTAAAAAATTGTACACCGTAAATCGGATGCTCGTCGTTGTTGAATATTTGTGTCAATAGGTTTACTGTATTCTCAATGGCATAGGTTACGAAACGTTGACTATCGTTCTTGTACCGTTCGTACATAACCATTTGACTGTGCGGTACCTCAACTTTGCAAATGCTACACATTTTATGGAGTTCGACATATGAAGAGGGTACATAAACGCCCGGTATGATTGGTACGGTGATGCCAATGGCACGGCACGATTGTACAAATTCCATCAAGTTCTCGTATGAGAAACAAGTGTTTGTTATTATGAAATTGGCACCAGCATCAACTTTCAATTTGAGCCATTTTAAATCGTCGGCACGACTCGTTGCCAGTCTATGAACTTCGGGATACCCGCTAACTGCAACTGTTGCATCCGCACTTAATTCTCGAATCGCTTTCACTAAATCGATGGCATAGGTCCAAGGTTGATTTTCGCATTGTTCGTACGGATCTGTGTTGTTGTTTAAATAAAATTAAGAAAAAAAGGTTTCTTTATCGTTTAAGTAAAATCTCGGCTAAAATTGTCTGTGTATTTACTTACCGCCCTTTAATGCCATGATATTTTTGAATCCAATGTCAATTAACTCGCGCAAAATTGCCGGTTGGAGTTTGTAGCAAGTCAAGTGCATAAGTACGGGCGAACATTTTTGCACCGATTTTCCAAGGTGAACAGCTGGTGCCGATGACAATGAATCATATTTTAAATTGTGGTCAAATAGCCAAGTTACTGCGGTAAATAATGGTGAGCTCGTAAATTTATTATAGTCTAAATCATCTCCGTTTGATGCCGGCGAAATTTCAATGCCAAAAAAACGCTTTCGTTCTTTGATTTTATGTTGTATCAAGTCGTTTAAACTTTTGTCAGAATTATTTTCAACACCTGGCGATATTATGTTGAATGACGAACTCGGTTTATCCACATCAATAGCGAACTCGTGCATTTTTAGTCGATGAAAATATTTTCGTTTGATTCAGAGAAAAATACGATGATCAGCTGACGAATTAGCTACTTAATTCATTTATTTTCAATGACATTAAAACCTATGGTATGTCTTATCAACATTTTTTAACAATTGATTATCAAAACAGTTTGTTAATATGATTGAAAACTGCCATAGATTGGAAAATGTATCAACGTATCAGAGATACAGCCTCTATCCACTTGTAAATTTTGATATAAAATCATTGAAATCATTGAATAATACACACACAAGTTAAATACTTTTTCACTTGGGACTGAGAAGTACGCACTTAAGCTTACTTTGTTCTTTTTCTCTCACACATTTGACATTTGAAATTATGCCGTTTAGTTATTCAAGTATGGATTGATATGCAATGCGATACCTTTTATTAAATCAAGTAAAATATATTCATTTTGATCAAAAATATCAAATTTATCCCAATTCATTCAGACATTTAAAATCATTGCAACCGACTATTTCGGTGTACCTGTACATTTGACAATAATATCAAGTGACATTTCAATAAGTTTATTAAAACGACCATCAGAGGGCCTATGAAAACTGAACCTCAAATTTTTTTTCAGCACATTATATCAACAAATTTATAAAAATATTTGATTTAATTGGAAACAAACATGTTAAGAGTAAGTTTTTTCATCAGTCATTCACTGATTTCAATTGCCTTTGAAATAATCCGTTGTTAAATCAATTGTTTTATGTCATTCATCAGCAATTTATATCCCGATTGTCGGCTGTTCGACCGAATGTTATCTGTGCGGTGCAACCGATCCGATTCTATTCTGTGGAATCGACACAACAGGTAAAAAATGTTGAAACCGAGGGAGAGGATGATAAATTATATAAAAGGCTTGAAATTGAATTGAAAGGCCACGATAAAATGGTCTTAAAAAGTTATGTAAAATTCGCAACAACAGCGGCTCACCACTTGAACATTGAAGTTGGAAAAAGGTAGTTCATCTCATGCAATGAATAATGAAAAATAAACAAATCTTAATCATAATCTGTCGTCAAATTCGTTCAATTTTCAGTTTTACGCCAAGATTACACTATAATAAAGAGCTATATGTATTGCTGAAGTCGGCATTTGTTCACAAAAAGCATCGTGTACAGTATGAAATCCGAACATATTTCCATTTCATACATTTTCACCGTTTGACCGGATCCACATTGTCAACCTATTTAGAATATATTGAACGAAATTTACCTGAAGGTGTTGCACTCAAAGCGACTAAAGTGGAATCGCTACCATTGCCAGAACATATGCAAAAACCACCGCCACTCGTAGAAAATGAACAGACCAATTAAATAGATGAAACCCTAAATGTTTGTTTAGTATATTATCAATAAAAACAATGTAAATTTAGATGTTTTTGAAATCATTTTGAAATTTATTATATGTGCCATAATGTTGGCGCCAAATACATTTTATTTTGTATTCACAGGATAGAAAAAAAAACTAATCGCCGGCCAAAATTCTTTGTTTTCTCAAGTACTATATTATGAACGTCTCATAATCCTACCACTTGATCGCATTGTTCTTGCAGACATTTAGACTGGTGAAAAAAGCAGTTTATGAAGAGAGAACATAAAAAGAGGCGTACCACAGCACATTTGTGACTGGTTTGTGTAACATCAACCAAACATTTTGCATACATCTTTTTGTTGTTGCCTACAAGAGTCAGTTACTTTTACAAAATTCTTACAAATACATAAATCATGCAGCAAATGCCATGTGCTTGTGTGCAAAATGTTATTTGTATATGTGCGTTTAATGCAAATTTGTTCAGTGTAAAACAATAGTCGGTTACACATGTTTTCACTGGACGATGATTAGTTCTCTGCAGTAGATCATCGATGACAGTACATAGAATTTGATGAACAAAAAAAAAGATAAATGTGAAACAATTTGAAAACCGAAGAACCAAGGAACATTTTTGGAACATTTAATAAATTTATTCAGAAAATACAAACGCTGTAATTTATATGTGGACGTTGTAATTTAATTTCATTTCCGCATAATTGTTAAAAGTGATTTAAATAAAAGAATTTGGTGTGAGTGTGCACTATTATTAAGCAAAAGATGTCAAATGGCACAGTGTCATCTAAATCAAGTGGCAGCGACGGTAGCGATTCTTATAAATATGAAGATACAAGTATATTCACTCATTCAATTCCAAAAGGCGACCGCTACAAGCTTCGTCTTCATCTCGATCAGAATGATGTGTGGGAAAAGGCAGCAATCAAAATGGGATTCACTGAAAACGACATCAATGTAAGTTTGTCTTCTTTCGTTTGTGAAAATTGTTAATGATGAAGTAAAAATGTGTGGGCAAAATGAAATAAAATGAAATTTTCTTTCATTAAATAGACGAAAATAAAACCATTGGCTCTGGAAAATCACTACTCAAATGCAGAACAACTCCTTTCGCTATGGGATGACCAAAATCACACCGTCACAGAATTGTTCATGGTGTTATATAGCATAAAGCATTATGAGGCAATGGAATGCCTGAAACATCATGTAAACAGAAAATATCATCGATTATTACTTAAAACATTGACGATTCCGAATGAAGCACAAAAAAGTCGAGACTCAAATGAAAGCAGTAGCTACTATTCGGTACGTTAAATTTTGTTGTAAATTATTTGCATTCGTCTTTTGTTACCAAGTTTTTTTGTTTCGCTCAGGATTCAATGATGTCGACCAACGGTTGCGACAATAAAAAAGCGGGCGATGTCGCCGGCCTCATACCATTCGTTTTGTACGAAGAACTTGAGACTGCGACGGAAAATTGGAGCGAAAAAAATATATTGGGTCGTGGTGGTTTCGCCACTGTATTTCGAGGTCGTTGGAAATCGACTGAAGTTGCTATTAAAAAAATTCAATACAAGACCGATGATGCAAAGAAAAAGGCCAAAATTCAAATGAAACAAATGGAAACGGAATTGTCTTTTTTGAATTCATGCAGACACGATAACATCTTGCCACTCTACGGATATAGCAAAAATGGGCCAGAGCCCTGTTTGGTTTACCAGCACATGTCTGGTGGATCAGTGGAACGTCGATTGCGTGGAAAAACGGCAAGTCCCCTGACGTTCGAGGAACGAAATCGAATTGCACTTGGGACAGCTCGAGGCCTTCAATACCTTCATACTTATATTGATGGCAAACCGCTAATCCATGGTGACATAAAACCAGCAAACATATTACTCGATTTGAATTGTGTGCCAAAAATCGGTGATTTTGGCTTGGTTAGACAACAAAGCACGGAATCGATGAAAGTATCTAGTATATGTGGAACAAAACCATATTTACCATTTGATTATTTGCACAATCGAATGCTTACCACGAAAATTGATACCTACAGTTACGGAGTTGTGCTATTTGAATTATACACAACATTGAGAGCATATGATAAACACCGTGATGCACCGTTTTTGGCAAAGTTTATGCGCGGCAAGGTAATTAATAACGAGCATTTCACACTCATTGATAGGTCAATACATTCGGCCCAATGCAATCCGTTGTATGATTTTATCATGAAAATGGGAATGAGGTGCACAGATGAAAATTGCGACAATCGACCGGAGATGGTGAAAATATTGCAAATACTAGAGAGTCTCATGGATAAGGATGGACGCAGTATTGGGCTACCAGTTTAGTATTAGTTGCATTTTTTAGCGGATTGATATAAACAAACATTAATGTTACTTCTTGAGAACCAAATGTATTCCTTTGTACGCATTTTAGATTTAACGAGAGAAAAAAAAATGAAATCATTTGTAAAATTTATGTTTAATGTAACTTTAAGTGCCTTAGTCAGAATCAATGAGATTACTGGTTTTGCCCAGCTAGTTTCAGTATTTAAGTTAAGTTTGTCTTGTATGCAATGTTTCAAAATTAAATGATTGAGTTTCATATCTTGTGAATGAGTGGATTTTATTGCATTTTAACTCGAATAAATCAAAAACCTGTCACTTAAACCTCACACGATCAGTATACTTTCGTTTGTTATCAAAACAATACTGATACATTTATACGTAAACTGTCAAAACTAACAAAGATTATTTCTCTATTGATATTGTAATTCGTTCATGAACAAATAGCTAAAACCTTTGAGTTATTTTTACATTTCTTACATTCCATGATTTAGTATGAATTGTCTTGCAAAATGACTCAAACTATACCCAAAAAATATGTAAATGTCTTTGTTGTTGTTTAATAGACAATACAGTCACAGATGTGGTGTGTTTGTGTGCGATCATTCATATGTCTGTAAATAAGTAGTGTGTGTATTATGGCGCTGTTGATCAATCAGCCAGACTTTGTTGTTTTCAGTAGACGATCATTAGTTCTGTTCATTGTATCGTCATTGACACTTGTTGCTTTACAAGTAGAGCTACTAATGCTGTTGAATTTAATCACAAGCGAAACAGTATCAATCAGTTGATATCTATTAAGAGAAATTCGAGAAATAGGCGTATCACATTTTTGTGACGGTGACGAAAAGAATTGAAGACAACTCTAAAGTTTTGTGAAAAAAATTTCTTTTTGACTTTGTTGTTCCGAAGCAAATGCCGCATTTTTTCGACCAATCAATCAAGATCGTGTGATTTTGTTGCGTTTCTGAAGAATTCTTAATCATACCTAATTTACATAAAATCCTTTGTACGTGTAAAGAATTTTATCGATTATTTGATGACAAAATGAGCGCTGGAACAGTGGCGTCTACTTCGAGCAGCGGTGGTGACTCACAGCCAAACACCGAAACGATAGACCGAAGTATATATGTTTATTTGATTCCGCAGAACGATCGCATGCACATTTGTTACCATCTTGATCAAAATAATGTGTGGGAACAAGCCGCGATTGAGATGGGCTACGCTACAAACGATATTATTGTGAGTGTTTTTTTTATAGTTTCACTAAATATACGCGTATTAGATATTTAAAATGCGTTGCAACCAATTGACCACATGATATACGATATGGAAATTGCGTATGCATTTAATGTTTTCGATCTCTGTACAACGAATCGTCAACGATTTGTTGCCCTCTGATATTTTTCGAAAAAAGATACGATATCTTGTTTTTCTACATCGAATTAAATGCAATTCATTTTTGACATTCAATTTATTTTGTTCAATTCGTTGGAATTTCTAGTTGGTGATTGCTCAATTTGTCACTATGGGAAATTCCAAGTGAATTACAATTATTTAATCGCAGAGTAATAAGTTTCTTTGCTGTTACACAATTTTGGTGATGAAATTTTTGAAGCGCAAACATAATCTTTATTTTTGACATGACGCACTTTTCCACTTTGTTATCATTGTCGAATTTCTAAATAAAAATTTAATAATACAAAAAATATATTATCAGCAATGTTTTTTTACCATTTCTTCTTTTTCTGCGAAAGCGATGAACCGGTTCAAGTTTCGGTTTTCCTTATAAGTTAACATAATTTCTAAATATAAAACGATGAATATGCATGTCGTAATATCGGTTATTAACCTATGATATTTTCCCTCATTAAACAGAGAGTGAAGAAAATGGCTCAAGATAAACGCATATCACCATCGGAACAGCTACTTTCACTGTGGAGCGATCAAAATCACACTGTCACTGAATTGTTTATGGTGTTACATAGGTAAATAAATGCATATTTAAAACTGCTAAAGCACAAACGATTCAAAGATAAAACTTTTCAATTTTTCAGAATGAAGCAATATGAAGCAATGGAATGCCTTAAAGATCATGTACATAAAAAGTATCATCGTTTGTTATGGAGTGCATTGCCAAATTTTCATGTATTGCTTGCAAAAATATCAATGGAAACAAGTAAACGGAACAATGCGTCATCGAAAATTTTGAATGGACCAGAAATGAGTCGAGACACGAACGAAAGCAGTGACTATTCGGTATGTTTAACGTTTTTTTTTTGTTTATTATAAATCGCTTTCGGAAAATATATTAATTTTTTTTTTCTTCGCGTAGGATTCAGTGATAACAAGCAATGGTAGCGATAACAAAAAAGCATGTGATATCGCCGGACTTATACCATTTATTTCATATGAGGAGCTTGTGACTGCAACAGAAAATTGGAGCGAAAAAAATATTTTGGGTCGTGGTGGATTCGCAACTGTATTTCGAGGTCGTTGGAAATCGACTGAAGTGGCCATCAAAAAACTTCAATACAAGAGCGATGATGCAAAGAAAAATGCCACAGTGCAAATGAAACAATTGGAAACGGAATTGTCGTTTTTGAATTCATGCAGGCATGATAACATTCTACCACTGTATGGATACAGTAAAAATGGGCCCGAACCCTGTTTGGTATACCAGTTTTTGTCTGGTGGATCTCTGGAACGTCGATTGCGTGGAAAAACGGGAAAGCCGTTAACATTGCATCAACGGAATCGAATTGCACTTGGGACAGCTCGAGGCCTTCAATACCTTCATACTTATATTGGTGGAAAACCTCTGATCCATGGTGACATAAAACCAGCCAACATATTGCTCGATCCATGTTGTGTGGCGAAAATTGGCGATTTCGGTCTCGTAAGACAAGGAAGCACCGAATCAATGGAAGTGTCATCAATTTACGGAACCCGTCCCTATCTGCCGGCAGAATTTTTATACCATAAAACTCTTTCTACAAAAATCGACACTTACAGCTTTGGAGTTGTGCTGTTCGAATTATATACAGCAATGCGAGCGTATGATAAAACCCGTGAACCTCCTCAATCACCGTTTTTAGCAAAGTTCATGTGTGGAAAAATAAAAAATAACGAACATTGGATGCTCATCGACAAGTCATTACAAATATCGTCACAAGAAGACATCTCGAAATATGATAGTCTGATGAAAATCGGAATGGAATGCACAGATGAAACGTCCAGTAGGCGTCCCGAGATGGTGCAAGTATTGCAAATACTTGAAACTCTACTTGGAAATGATGATGACTTCTAATAAATAATTTGCTTATAATAGATTTATTAGTTTTGAATTAAGAAAAAAAAAAACAAAATTGACTTTATTCCAAATGTATAAGAAAGAACCATTGTACTATATTCAGGCATAACGAAAAATAAAACAACAAATAATACAAACTAATATTCAGTTTTAAGCACAAAGTTTTCCTCAAATCTCTTCTCTCTCAGCCATTTTTACCGATGCCCATTGTCCAAAACAGATGTCTGTCACAGTGAACTGAAACAGTTGAACTGCTGTACGAATTTGATGAGCTTACTATTTTGCCAAAACCGACTGTGTAATTTGCTGCAGATGAAAATAACAATTTATTTGAAATTATTTAGATTGTAATTCAGGTCTCTTTATATCAAATATGATGATATGATTATAGATAAAGGTGCACTCACTTAAATCATATTTCAAACCGGATGTTGTGACACAAGAACTACCATCCATCGGAATATAGCCACACCAAACTTCGTTCGTAACAAATTCCGGTGGAACGTTTATTTTATGTTGGCCCGGGAAAAGAAGCCAAGCTAGTGTGTCGTGGCTTTGTAAATAAACGTTTACACTTTCGGATAGTGGCCGTTTGAACAATGTATTGATTTGTGACATTGTTTGATCTATTCTACCTCCAAAATCTGTTACGATCAACACATTTTTAATCTGAAATAGCACAAATTGCATTTTAAAATCAATTTTTTTATACAAGCTTAATTTCATCCAGGGCTTGTTCCTGCGAGCGGGTGTGCGGAAGAGAATGTTTGAAACCAAAAAAAATTTTTGTTTTACAAATAACTTTTTGATCAAAAAGACATTTTCCTACTCCTCATTTGCCTCCTCTTCTCAAAAGAATAACCTTCGATTTCATATTACCTTATTTGGTTCAAGATAAGGCCGTAATTCAATAAGCGATTTAGTGCAATCGGTTTCATTTTGATCCGGTGTATATACTCGCTTACATCCCATTTTGTTCAAACGTTGTGTTGATTCTTCAGTTATCGAATCCATGTCACCAGACACATAACTTGGCACTGCCATACTGTCTACAGCTAAATTGTTGTCTGCGATAAATTTGAACCAACGATTTGCACCACCGTCTACCAACACACGTATCACAGCTGTGAAAAAACAAACATTGTAAAATATTCTTTTCAATATTTGAATAAAATTGTTTGAAAAAATGCAAACCGTTGTTCCATAACCGTTGAAAGTCGTCTGATGTGAACAAAATTGGTCGATTCAAAACAATAAACGCATACGGTATGTCGGATTGTGTGATGTTCAGAATGCTTGTAGCATCCCATTTTATAATTTGACACATATTTTTTATTAACACGTATTTATACACTTGTGACTGTTTGCACTGATATCTTTTGAAGTATTTAATAATGAATGTGATATTTCTATTAAAACTATCTCATCATGTTGACTGTTTTCAATTCAATGTCAAGTATTCAATGAAAGATGGAAGCGCGTAACATATCTCTTTCAGCGTGAAACGTCATTGCCTTAAACACAAAGTTTATTACACATTATCATCGTAAATTAACCGGAATTGTTTATAATTATATTCAAAATGGCAATCAAACGTATATGCAAGATATTTTAATGTGAATTTGAGCGAAAGTTATTGAAATTCAAATCGAATGAAAACCAAATACTAAAAACCTGTCATTTAAACCTGACAAAAGAGTGATGTTGTCAAAATACATACCAATACATACGCACATGAACTGTCAAACACTCAAAACATTGCTGTCATGCCATTAGATTCAGTATTTATATTTGGAGCAAAACAAGAAAAACAACGCGCTTTTGTGATAGTCAAAATCAATACATTGTCGCGACTTTTATCTGTCTTCGTGAATCATACTCTTAATAAATAGATCAGCGACAAAAAAAATCTTGGTGAATACGGCTATGAAACAGATGATATACGAGTGAAAGTTGTTGCAAATAGTCGAATATCTCTTGGTCCATAGTCATGAGTGAACCAAATTATTTCCAATTTCAACCGTTTAGTTCGTTTGTGAGTCCAACATTTTGGCATAAATTGGCCGAGTTAAAAATCGATGTAGATCGCTTGAACGATGCACGTAAATCAATTAATGCATTTTATACAAATTCCGACGTAACACACTGTTTACTCGAAACAGATGCTACGTCGTTCAATAGGTTTGTTTGCTTAGTTTTTTTACCAATCAAATTGATATCAAAGTGGCTAAAGAATTTGATTATTTGTTTTCAACAGTGAATTTGCATCACGTCCGAATATTTATCAGTGTCATGGGGCAATTGTCAACAAAAACAAAATTGAAGATTTCAAATCGTGTGATAAGCTTGCATTGATTGGCGACGAAGGTCGATTAATTTGGAATGATATTACAAGTGGCGCATGTTTGGAGAAGCCAAGTCTTTTGTCCAGATTCTTCATCTTCTCATTTGGCGTAAGTTTATTCAATCATCGTTGGCGTTCATCTTGTTTCTTCAATGCCAATAAGATTAATGCTCTTTCTCAATTCACAGGATTTAAAAGCATTCAATTATTATTACTACTTCGCTTATCCGTGTCCGTCGACTCCGATTTTTGAGAAAATCGATGAGCCCAAACCCATCACCAATGTGTTCAGTTCAGCATCTCTGCAGGCCTTGTCCAAACTATATTTCTCGTTGTCCAGTGAGGAGCGTTCATTTTTCATTGTCACACACAATGACGCCGATCAGTTCAATTATCTTAGACTCTCTGAGAAAATTAGCGCCGATAAAAAAGATGACAACTTCATCGATGCAAATTTGGATGAAATCTATTTTTGTTTCTCGGATCCGTGTCCAATGGCTGAATATGGCGGATGGCCACTCCGATTATTTCTACTTATGCTGACGCATTTATGGTGTGTATATTTTGACGCTTATGCGTGTGCGATCAAATTTTCTATCAATGCGGTAAATTGCGGTCAATTCTAGAACACAATATTATAAAAATGAAAAAAATTTGACCGCACACTACTGAATAACCGCATCTTCATTTGATTGGACGGCATATTTTTTTGTGTGTTCATTTCTTTATCGCGAAAGATATACAATAAAAAAAAAAAAATTATCATCTCATTTTAGTCCGAATTTAAGAGAAAAAACGATAAAAATACTTTCGTTACGCGTTAAGAAGTCGGTGTCGATCGAAATAAACAGTATGTTGTTTACAGTCAAATTGCCGGCAAATGACGTTGACATTGACAATGTTAAATGGATTGGCTGGGAGCCAAATGAACAAGGAAAATATTTACCAAGATGTGCGTCACTTGCATCTAGTATGGATCCACACAAGTAACGTCTAACTCATTTTCAATCCTATGATTAACTATGTATAATGGTATGGATTTGGGCTTTTCTATTTAGATTGGCAGAAAGCGGCGTTTACTTGAACCTCAAGCTGATGAAATGGCGCCTTTTGCCAACCCTTGATTTGAATCGAATTTCCAAAGTAAAATGTTTACTCTTTGGCGCTGGCACTCTCGGTTGCTCCGTGGCACGAAACTTGATGGTAAGTATCAATCCTTCACTGTGGTAAATTGTTCGTTGAGGCATGACATTGTCATAAAAGTACAAAAATTAGAATTCCGTCTCTTAACGGACCTACGCAGTAGAAGAATATGAACATTGAATGAATGTGTTTTTCTTAATTCGTAGGCTTGGGGAATTCAGCATATTACATTTCTCGATAGTGGGCATGTTTCGTTTTCGAATCCCGTGCGACAGAGTCTATTCACGTATAAAGGTTGCGTTAACTTATTCATCAAAATTTGATACGTCGAAATTTTATAGCCTTCAATATTTTGTATGTATAGATGCCGAAGGCAAGAAGGAAAAGGCCAAAACAGCAGCGTTTCGTGTGAATGAAATTCATCCAGGCATAGTTGCAAAGGGTCATAATGTACATATACCGATGCCAGGCTACCCCATAGGTGAATCGCTTAAAAAACAAACAACTGAAGCACTGAAAACCATCGAAGAGCTCGTCGAAAGTCATGATGTTATCTTTATGTTGACTGATTCGCGCGAGAGCCGGTGGTTACCAACGATGTTGGCGGCAACACACGACAAGGTTTGTATTATAACTTTCTATATAGTTTTTATTTTCGGATAAATTATTATTTGTATAGTTTAATTCAATAAAATGTACATTCGTTTTTATTTAGATTGTCATAAATGCAGCATTGGGTTTTGATAGTTATTTGGTTATGCGGCATGGATGTAATCCATTGGAAAATGTTAACACAGCAGAACAATCGACTAGTTCAATTATCGATGGGCTTAAATGTATACCGGGGGATAAACTTGGTTGTTACTTTTGTAATGATATCACTGCTCCGGGTGATGTAAGTACTTTTATTTTAATTTATCTCCGTATTGGGATGTGAATAGATTTCGAATCCAGAACATTCTTTTGAATCCGTTTGCACATGATCGACCGACGTAACTTCCATATGCTCTTCCTCAGTGTTCAATTGTTTTGTTGTGATAACAAGTGCAAAATTGGTCGTTCCGCAGTTAAAAATATTTCCAGTTTTCTGTCAAATAGCAACAACAAATGATTGCTTTGAGTTGTACGTAATCCCCATTCCGTTCAACATGCAACTTGTTTAGTTAACATGCGTGATGTAGCGAGCTTGCTGAATGATTGAGTAGGTGTGCGTTGAATATAAAGTGTTTATCGGTGCTTACGACTTACGACAATATCACTTGTTATTCTGCTTTAAACATATTCTTCTTTCTAAATTTCTTTTTTTTTTTGGATTTTTTTACCAAATATGTATCTTTTTACGTTTTATTCTTTTCTTTATTTTCAAATAGTCAATGAAAGATCGTACACTTGACCAGCAATGTACCGTAACACGACCGGCTGTTTCAAATATTGCAGGCGGTTTAGCTGCTGAACTATTGATTTCAATGATTCAACATCCGCAAAGGTCAATGTGCCCGGCATACATTTCCATCAATAATCATGACGTTCATTTGCAAATGAAATCAATACCAGAAGGTTTACTAGGCATCATTCCGCATTCAATTCGTGGTTCACTCAGCAATTTCGAAAACATTCTTCCAGCCACCGAACGTTTTTCACAATGTGTTGCATGCTCAAAGGTATGTTTATGTTCATGTTTGCATATATTTAAAAGTGAGAACACCATAAGCATTGTGTCATACAAATGTGAATGAAACATTTTTCATTTGCGAAAAAAGTATAATTCACTAGGTAAATAATTTCTATATTGATTTCGGTGAGTTAGCTTGGTTCTCGTCGCTACTTTCACCGCGAGCCACCGAAACATACAATCGTAACTGCTATTCCATACCATGAATAACACTGTCGATTGAAACTTAGGAATTCTTCCTCGCAATTACCTCCGTCGCGGGGTATAAATTTTTTTTTGCCAAATAAGATTTTTAAATTTTTATAACAATTGTGATTTTTAGAAAATTATCGACGAATACCGTGCGAGAGGACATGAATTCCTATTCGAAGTTTTCGAATCGTCGAAATGTCTCGAAGAATTGTCCGGAATATCCGAGATACTTAACGCTCAACACGAAGAAGTATGAAGTTTTCTGTTGTTTTTTTTTTTATTCAAAGAAAAAATTCAATCTTTTTTCTTTTACTAATTGTGATTCGTTGTGATTCCTTTAGGTTTTGGAATTCGACGAAGGATCAGACTTTGATACGTCGGATTGAACCCAAGAGTCTACCAGGTCAACACAAATTATATAAATAAATGTTTTCCGATTTAACACAATCATTTTCAAAAAAAAAAAAAAATATTATCGAGAAACAGTCGCTTGTTGTTTTTAAATTTACTTGAGAGCTTATTTGCTCGGAAATAAAATAAGAAAACTCAGTGTCACAAAAATTATTGTCTTTTGAATAAAATCTGTGTTCTTTTTTATCTTTTCAAATTTCTGTTTTAATTTACTCATAAATTCAATGTAACAGCGAAACAAATGATTATATCATTAGAGATGATCCGATAAATAATGAATAAATGTTGGAGTAGTTCGAATTAACAAACTCCCCAAAATAAATTTTAAACAAATTTGATTATTCTTTTGAATTTTATTTACAAAAAAACTATATGTAGCTAATTATTCAAATGAAAGAAAAGTTATAAAATAAAAATCAATATTGATTCCAAATAGCTTCAATGTTTGTTCAATCCCATTCTTTTTCGGGTGTAACACTTTTGGCTTTGTGTTTTGGTGATTGAAACGCAGAGCTATCGACCGATTTTGATCTGGATTTTGATTGTTTCCGTGGTGGTGACGGAGACCGTTTGGCTGGTGGAGTACTTGTTATTTTTTCACGTTCGGATGATTTGGCATTGCGTGGTGGCGATGGTGTTCGCGTTGAATGTCGCTTTTTTCGTTCTAAATTCGATGACGATTTTTCTCTTTTGCCATCTTTTGAACGATGACGAGAACGTGACGACTGGCTTTGTTTTCGTGAACGTGAATGATGTGAACGACTAGACACAGAGGACGATGACGAGTGTGAACGTCTAAGTGTTGAAGCCAATTTTTTCGATTTAATATCTGCCTGTAATTTGGTATCGTACCGGCTGTGGCTGCTACGACTGCTGCTTCGATTTCTGCTACGACCTGTTAAGGTATACAAAAATTAAAATCAAATCACATCCGAATTGATTGACTGAAACTTACTCTTGCGACTGCGTCGGTTGCGTGATCGACTACGAGAACGTGATGAATAAGATCGACTTCGACTACGGCTACGGCTACGAGATTCCGATCTGAAAATACACCATTATAAAATATATTCTTTGATTTTCGTTCGAGGTTGTTTCGAATTTTACCTTCTGCGATGATCACGTCGCTTGTGATCATACCAATCATCATTTCGGCGATCTTCATGCCCATAATGATTTACACGACCACCTCTGTAGAGACGTCGGCCACCTCTCGATCTGGGAAAACGGCCACGATAGCCTCCTCTTGGTGCCAATTCGTAACTTTTCGAATACGGCATTGCTGCTGGAGGATAAATTGGTGGAAAAAATGGAGCTGGATATGGATACATGCCCAACCATTGTCCTGTTTCTGGATTGTACATAGGATATGCGCCCATGGCAGGCATCAATGGACCATGATTTTCATCTGAAAAACAACAAAAATGAGATTTTGTTTTTGACAGTACTATGTCTATGTGGTTATGATTTTCACCTTTATCGTCTTCTTCATGCGATGCGTCCGATTCATCGTTTTTCTTTCGTTTTTTCTTAGTTGCTGGGTCATCACTTAAAATACTGTCAGAGCTAATTGAATTAACACTCGGCGAACGTTCGTCAGAACCACGATTCAATATGATACCGGAGCGATACTTTTTCAAGCGACTTTTTTGCCGTTCAAGCTCTTGTTCTGATGCTGATTTAACTTTGCTTATCAATTTATTTCGCAAATCCAATGGATTTCGACGGAGCGATGATGATTTTTGTGAATTGTGCTTGTCTCTTGATCCGATTTCATCACGTTCTTTCTTAATCTTTGCTTTGAGCGTTACATTTTTTATCTGAAAAAAATGTGTTTACAAAAATGAAAATTAGGAAGTTGACTTTTATTTGTGCTTAAAGTTTTATTTTCATTACCTTGATACGATCAAAGAGTGCTTCCAACACACGTATGCTTTCCAATTTCCGTTGAGCAATCAACAATTTCTTCTCCTCGGATCGAATCTTCGAATTCAATTGATGTTGCTCTTGCTCTCGTATCTTTTTCAAATGTTTCTCTTTTCGCTTTTCTTCGCGTTGTCGCTGCTTTTCATATTCTTCTATTTTTTGTTGTTCCACTTTTTGCCTGTATAAACAAATTATCGCTATCTCTTGAAACGGTAACTTAAATCAATTGCTACAAAAACATTGAACTACAAATCAATCATTATTGGAGCTTCAATAATAATAACTAACACACTTGCACTCATGCATGTTAGTTACTATTGTCCGAAACTCAAAATGTCAAAATTAAAAAAAATGTAGAAAAAAAGCTCTTTCAAATTTAAACCTTTCTTTTTCCTTCCGTTTTTCTTCTTCTTCAGCCTTACGTCGTTCCTCTTCACGTTTTTCATTCTCTTTCATAATGAGTCGATCTCGAATCACTTGTCGTCGCTTGATACTCGTTTCACTTAGATGTTTGGTCGTATCGAAGTCAACAGCAATACTTATGGCTAGATTTTTATCGCCATCTTTTCGTAGTAATTTCATACCGCGTAACGCATCCATGGTTCGAACGAAACCAATGTATTCCGAAAATTGCACATATCTATAAAAAAATGACCAGTTTATTTCCCTGTCTTCTGCTTTACTCTTAAAACAATTTACCCCTCGAAATATAGCTCCTGGTCAAAGCTGAATGTTTTCATTCCAGTCATGTGAGATTTCATCTCTTTGCGATAAATATCGCAAATCGGTATGTCAACAACACGGACAGGGCCAAATTTTTCAAAAATTCGCTTAAAAATGCTTTCGCTTGGTTTGACATCGTCTTCATTTTCCATATGCCTATAAATTGATTTGATAAAATTGTTAGAGTCTATTTCCGTTTGCCGCATGATTTAAATCAATATTTACCGTGGACAGAACCAGCGAATGGGTAAGTTGGATATATGAATGGTGTCTGGGCGTTCACCGGGTTTCTTTTCATCCATGTTTCGTGCATCACGAAAATATGAATCCCAATCATGACGTTTTGGAAAATTATCTTTTGCTTCCGATGCTCGAATGCGAGCTGATTCTGAGAAACCATTTAACTTTATAGAATTCCCATCAAGCCGTTGTACAACTGCTTTCAAACGTTCTCGATCGTCCAGTTCGGCATCTAAACGCGTCAATTCTAATGTACTTTTAGTAACCTACGTAAGCCGATATGAAAACACAATTTATCAGTTCATTTCATTCACATACGAATCAAATCAAATGTTTCAAACTCACCTTCAGCACAGAGAATTTATCGGGTGAGATAGTGTTGCGTAGATTTTCCATGACATCCCAATTTGATATACTTTTGCCAGTGACCGTGGTTGGCAATTGCACTGATATAACCAGTTTTGCATGTGGCTTAAGATATAAGCTATGCGGTAGGTATAACGGGACGCAATCCGATACATTTTGCACCGTCTGTATGTTCATTGTTGTTTTTGTTGATTGTTGTTTTGTTTACATTGGATTATTATTTTGATTTGAATATGGTTCAATTCCAATATGAATTTATTGATTTTGTGTGTTTCAGTTGGTGGTATGTTTATAAAATTATTTCAATAGTAATTAATTTGAAAGAAATTTGCAATTAATAAATGGAATGAATGAAGACAAAAATGGTGTGTATGAAAATGAATGAAATAGATTACTTCCACATTGAAATTACAGTGTATTTCACATAAAATTAAAGACCCCTAAAATTCAATTTAAAAACCTAATGCCTCGTGGACGGCAAAATTTGAAAAAAAAAAATTAGAAATGTTTGGCAAATTAATTTTCCTACTAAAATCTAATGAAAATAAAAATGTCGTCTGTATAAAAAAAACCTGCGGTGGGCAAGCAACTATTGTTTGCAAACTATGTTCCGAGACATATGCAATGTAGGACAGTAGAGAAAAAATGATTTCTTTGTATGTAAAATACAGACTTCAATTGCAGTTTCTTATCCTAAACACGACGAATCACTCAAAAATCAAAATCATTACTGAACCACTCTGCAGAAAGAAAAGAAAAATAAATGTTGATTCCAACACTTTTATTGAAACCAATTGCAATATAATGAATTTTGGTATCAACTAATGGCGATGACAGTTCATTCGTTCTCTTGCTCAGCAATTCAGCTATTAAGCAATTCAGCAGGGATGCGTTCCAAGTGTCATAAAGCCGATTTTTTTTTCTATTTAATTCAAATCTTTTCTGTTTTATTTTTGAAAATAACTTTTTTTTATTCTAACACATAAGTAACATAAGGCTATTTTGTCTATTCATTGAAAAACAATTAATTTTAAAATTTCGGTAATCCGAAGAGTTCGGGTTGAAAATCTTCCAACGAATCCAATACGATGGTTGCTTCTTTTGTTTGTTCGGGAGTGACAAGCTTTTTATCGGGCACCATTACCTTAAATTCAAGAAAAATAAAACGAAATCCATTAGGGAAAATATTTTTTTTTTTTCGAAGACGAAAGCCAATCAATACCGTTTGCATTCCAGCAGATAGACCGGCTCGAACTCCATTTGGTGAATCTTCGAAGACTAAGCATTTGCTCGGATCGGGTTTGTCTTTGAAACGACTAGCAGCAACAAGAAAAATGTCTGGAGCTGGTTTTCCATGTTTTACTTCCGCGTCGGTTGAGCCCATAACTTTGTGCGCAAACAAATCAAATAACTCTGGATAATTTGACATTTTCACTTCGGCCATGTCCTTACCTGAGCTCAATAGTCATTAAATGTTAATACAATCATTATTATTTACTGTATTAATTTGCTACCTGAGCTCGTTGCCAAACATATTGGCACTTGAGATTGATGTAAATGTCGAATGAGACGTTCGGCACCTTTCATTAAATTCAAACTGGTGAACTCTTTTCGAACATAATCGCCTTGTATCTTCAGAAACTCTGCTATTGATATTGGCAACGATAAATCATTAATGACAATTTCAGCTGTTTTCTCTTCTTGCGTGCCCATCACCTTCATTCGCACATCCCAAGGATAGTCCTTTCCAAATGAACGACAGATTTCACGAACTGAATTCTCATAAATAAATTCCGTATCTAATAATAAACCATCCATATCGAACAGGCAATGGCTTACAGGCTTTACATTTGGTCGTGATGATAATTTTCGCAATGTAACACCAATTCCACTTGATTTACAGTTTGAGATTATCAATATCGAACGAACGGTACGAAACATTTTTAATAAAGTTTACGTCAACGATTTATGTAATAAATTAATAATTTTAAAATCGAAAAAAGGAAGTAGTGATCTATATCAGCTGTTTTAACACTTTTGTTATGCAATTTTCAGAAAATATAGGAAGACGTTTAGTCATATCACAGGATAAATGATGAAAATGTTCAACGCACTGATACTGAATGCTTTTGTTCTGATATAAACAAGTTTCATCTGTATCTGACAGCTTGAACGTCACATGTGACAAACACTTACAAATTCGAAAAAGAGTTCAGCAATTGAACTGTTGGTCTGACATCAAATTCAGCAATACGACTTTAAATTCAATGAAAAGCAACAATTTTTGGCAAACAAAACAAGGAAATTGTTTTACTTATGACCTTTATATAAATCTTTACATAATAAATATAAAATTGATTTGGGAATTTACAATTAGTCGGTGAATGCTGGTAGCCCGAATAATTCAGGTTGAAAATCTTCCAACGAATTTATAACGATAGTAGCTTCGGCTCGTTTTTCAATTGGAAGCGAGGCATCAGGAACCATAACCTGAATTATCAAATGAAAAACATATTCGTAGAATAAAGATTGAAATATCGAATTAGTAGCTTGAGCACTGTTACCGATTGCATATTGGCTGCTACAGCTGCCTTCACACCGTTTGGTGAATCCTCAAAAACTAGACATTTGGTGGGATCGGGCTTATCCTCAAAACGACTGGCAGCAATCAAGAAAATATCTGGTGCTGGTTTTCCCTTTTTTACTTCCGAATCACTTGAGCCGTAGACAAAGTGTGAAAACAATTTATACAAGTCAGGGTAACCGCTCCATTTAATTGCGCCCATCTCTTTGCATGCACTACTTGCCACACAAAATGGAATGTTATGCTTGTGCAAATGACGAATAAGTCTGTCAGCTCCTTTCATCATTTTCACCTTTTTGAATTCTTCTGCAACCAAATTTTCTAACTTGATCAAAAACTCTGGAACAGTCAGTGGCAGTGACAATTCTTTTATGGTTATTTCTGCTGTGTTGTATTCAGTTGTTCCCATTACTTTCATTCTTACATCAAATGGATACTCTTTTCCAAATGAACGACAGATTTCTCGAACCGAATCTTCATAAATTGGTTCAGTGTTGAACAGCAAACCATCCATGTCAAATACACCTGTAATTTATAATATTCTTATTGCATACAATAAATCGCCTTATCAAATAAATCCAATAAAATTTACAGTGTGTAACTGGTTTATATAATGACATCTTTTGTTTGTAAATAGCAGCGGTAATTGAACAACGGCACTGTACGCGGTCACTGATACAAAACAACTGATCGTCAAACACACGACAAATGGAAAAGTTTGTTGCTTAACTTTGAACAATAGTTTTCGTTGACGTCAATGCAATAACGGGAAAAAACACACAGTGAAAACGTGAACAGTATTGACGTCAGTGTGTCAAAGTGTTTAAGAGATTGTTTTATTTTTTCAAACAAAATCTGACAGTTTGTATATTATGTGTTTGTACAAACTTACCAAAGACAAATAACTGGAAGGAAAGGAAAATGATGATTTGATACAAATGAAATACAGTCGAATGTTTATTTTCAATTTTTCAATGTTTTTTATTGCTTTTTTTTTTCAAAAAAAAAAAAATTTCTGCAGAAAAAAAATTATACATTTTCTTCTTCATCATCATGTGTCTATCTGTCTCGTTCTCGCATTTTTATATGTTGTTATTTAATTCAAATATTATACATTAAAAACAAAGGAACTATATATGTCAGTCTTTTAATCGGGTTAAATAGAGAAAACATTATTATCATTAATCATCGCATCCGTGTAAAAAGCATAGTATTTTGTAATGTAATCATATAAATAATAACCAATATGATTCATTAATTAGTAATGAATAATTACTAGTACAAGATCGTCAATCGCAAAAAAAATAGAAGAAAAGAAAATAATAATAATAATAATGAAAAACAATAGGCAAAAGTTCACAAATCAAAAACGATTTGCTGTTCTGTTGTAAAAATCGGAATATTTCCAATATGTAGGTATGTGCATGAAAAATATAAATAGGCTATTTGTTTGTTCCGATTCCAATCAATGGAGTATTGATGTATATACAAATGTGTAACACATTATGAAATTGATTATCGGCTAACTAAATCTACTGTGTGTACGATTTTGCCATTGTCAAACTTGTACTAATATATATTGTATATCATCAAAACGAATACTCTGTAACAATTCAAATGCTTTCTCATATTATATTTTCTTTTCTTTAAAAAGTATGTTGTGGATTTATTGTTTTTTTTTTCTTTTTTGGCAATATAATGAATTAGCGCGATTCGTTTAAAGTTTCCTTTTGTCAATTGACAGAAAATAATTGTAAATACACGCTATTTTATTATTTGCCATATCGAAACTGTTAACTAACTATTTTATGATTAACATAGGCTGTAGAATTTTCATTTTACTAAATATTCGTCTATTTACTTTTTAGAGTGTGTTTGTGTGTGATTTTTTGTTTATTCGAATAACTTTTTGTAATTTCATAGTTTCGCTTTTGTATATAAATAAACTAATCTATTGAAAAAGAGTGTATTTGTGTGTGTGGGAGTGTTTTTATATAGAAATATGTGTGTGTATGTATAGAAGGGATGGAAAATATCCTTGCGTTGATGTATTTGAGAAGTTCCATTTTGAATTGTAAATATTCTATTTCAATTCATAATATTTTGTGGCGTGTTTTGTTGTTTCATTTTTTGCGTTGTGGAGAAATCGAATACAAAAAAAAACGAACACTATAAATAAACAAAAATTCATTCATAATGTTCTCATATAATATACATAGTTATTTTGTTTTCCTGTCTTTTTTTATACATTTCCTGTTTGCTCGTAGAAAAGCTATAATTTTACAACTATGTTAGCATGTTTATTCATTTAATTTTTCATTTAAATTAATCAGAATCTTCGAATTCTGAATATTATTTCAATATGCAAACAGTAATTATTCATTATTATTAAAGAGTCATAAAAAATTATTTTTAATTTATTATTATTGGGATTGATTTCATTTTTTTTTTTTCTCATTTTATCGTTCTTAATTTTGTAGAGGTACTTTTTACAAAACTGATACAAACTAGTACTTAACTGACTCTATGGTTGTTGTTTTTTTTAAACTTATTTCAAAACATTTTATTTTTCTCTTTCAATTTTCTTTAAGAACTTTTTGCATAACTTTTACCTTTTTTGTATGCGTTTGTTTCACTTTTACAATTTAATTTAATAATAATTTTTTTTTGCTGAGTTACAGCGCAACAATACAAAACCATAGAGAAATACACACATCTTTGATAAGTTCGTTGAACATTTTGTTTGTTTCTTTTTTTTTTTTTGCAAAAAACCATTTTCTGTTTATAACAGGTGTGCTTTTTCTGCATCAGGTGTTTTTTATTTCTTTATGCATTTTTTCCAATCTTTTTTTTTAATGAAATAGTAAATTTTATGTATTTTTCTGTCATTTTTTTATAATTTTTCTATAAAAAATATTTTTTATTCTTTTTTTTTTGGTTGAATATTCTTACTTAAAGTTTTCCATTCAATTTGTATGAAATTTTTAAGCATACATTTGATGAACATTTTGAACAATGAAAGCAATGATGGGATAAAATATAATTAGGCTTTGCTCGAGCAATTGGTTACTTTATTTATCTAAACTCATACCAAGAACAAAAATTGTCGATATTCGATGATGAGATTGAAATTTTTTTGTTTCGTTTACTATGGAATTAATTTGTGTTTGTATCTTAACGAATAGTTAAAAAAAAGAGAACGGATCTTAATCATTTTTTGTACACTAAAATCTATTTGTTTGTTTTTGTGGATTTTCGACTGTTTTGACTTTGTGAATTCGTTTGTGTGTATTTTTGTAGTTGTATCATGTGTCGTGGTGGGAAACGTTTTTGATGTTAGTATTTGCATTGCGTTTTTATGTGTATTTGTGTGCCTATTTGAGTGAGTTGTAAATGTTTTATTTACGCTGTATGTGATAATATCTGTTATCTGTCCGCCAATCCAATTCAATAATATTTGATTCGTGTGTTTCGAAAATGTATGTTTTTTTCTCTATGTTCTAATACAATGGCATTTCTTTTCTACTGAACACATTAGTTTTGGAAACCGATTCTCCTTCGTTATTTGTATGTATGTTTCTTTATTTTTGTCTCATTTCTCATCGTTTCTTAATAAAAAAAACTCTAATTACACTTAATCGCTACTGCATTCTGACTTTGTCACTATTAAAATGCCACATTTCTTAATTTCAATGCTGAATGTCTCTGTATTCAGTGTTGTTGTTCTTGTGTTCATTTCTATGCATTACAAAACTGTTAATCAAGTCAAATTAAACGAGCGGTGGGGTAGCATGTGATTAAATATTAATCAATAAAACTGTGCGCAGTTAGATTAGAGTCATAAGAAACTTCTTCGATTTTTTTGTTGGTTTGTTTTGTCATCAAACAAAATGAACATTTATAATAATTGCATACTTTGTTTGTTAAATAATAGAAATAAGAAAAGGTACGAATTAAATTTGCCTAAGAAGAGATTTGACTATAAAATATGAAATGGTTGATTGTTTTTCTATCTTTCTTTATAAAAAAATGTATCTATGGTTTGTTTGGTGTAATTGAAACAATGTGTCATGTAAGTGTTATTTTGTGGCGGAGGGGTTTAAAGCCGGCATTTGTCTTGACAAACATCAATTGTCAATTAAAACATTTTCGAATACACACGATAACCTGCTCTAAACTTACATTTATTTTGGACAAATGGCATTTTTTTCGTTTTTTTTTTTTTGGCTATCTTACATCATACTTAATCGATTTTATTCTTCACATTTTATATTTTCGCAGTGCAAACAATAACATCGAAACGATCCAAATGTAAATCTATTGACTCACTTTTCGTTGGTATATGTGTTTTGATTACTGCTGCTTCATTCATTGAAATTAAAATAGTATGGGATTTTTATGCCAATTCAATTAACGTTTCCAAGTGAAACGAAAATTGTTTCTTTTCTTGGATTTTAAGTTTTTGGTGGTTGGTCTTAAACGTTGATTCTAAATAAAACATAATTTGAGGCGAAACTAGAATCCAAAACTGCATATTTGTTTTAAAATTAATAAATTAAGTATTATTTAAAGAAAATCAGGGATTGTTCCTCTGAGGAGGAAAATGAGGAGGAGAGCGAGGAGGATCCACCTTCTCATCAAGTGAGGAGGAAAAGTTTTTTTTTGCTCAAAGGGCCATTTTTATCACTAAAATATCATTTTTAGCTAAAAACATTTTCCTCCTCACCATTCCTCCTCCTCAGAGGAACAATCCCTGAAGAAAATTAAAACAAATATCGAAATAAAAACAATGATTAAACTCAAGAGCAATGGCATCATATAGTGCCACGAAAAGTAACTTCGACTGCTTGAAATAAAAGTGAGAAATTAAATCGGTCTCTGAATAATTGAACATCGTTTCGTATAAATTCATAAATAAATGCATTTTTTTTTTGTTAATATCTATTTTTTGCTGGGAGAAGGAGTTGACGTAAAGTGAGTAGTTGTATTTAGTTCAAATCAATTTTGTTTATAATATTTTTTAATTGGAAATTTGACATAAACAAGCATATAAAAATGATGACATAGAGGGATAGTATGTTGATCTATTGATCGTTTTCATGAAAAATGTGATTTCATTCGTTTGAAAGTGTTTTTGATGTTTGGAAGCTTTGAAATACAAATTTTTTTGTAACTCATATAGATTGGTCAAGGTTTGAGTGCGTTTGAATGAAACCGATGGTTTACAACAATTATTATTATCTCTTATAACCTAAATGTTCATTTCATTTAAAAAATAGTTGCTATTTCTCCATCCATAAAAATGCTTTTCTCTGTTCTCAATTATTTATACAGTTACAAAAATCTTCTTCTTTTTTTTAATATGCGTTGTATCATTTTCGTCTTCTTGTTTTAACCTAAATATGCTTCAATATGGGCATTTCATAAATAGAACTAATTTTTTATTATCAAAGCAGCAAAAGCAAATTTGCAAAGAAGTGTATTCTTTTAGAACGCTCATTTTTTGCTCATTTCAATTTTTTACTGCTTCACTGTGCTATAGAACCTCATTTTTAAATAATTATTTCTACTTCGCTTCTTGCTTTATGCTGCTTATACATGTATGATGATAGTAATTTTTTTTCTTTTGATAATTAACAATGTCAAATAATTTTTATGACTTTTAGATTTAAATTTACACATAGATAATAGTATGGTTTTGGGTTGCGCTCTCAATGTTGCTAATAGTTTTGTTTTTCTTTTTGGGTAGAATTCACCGAATCATTTAAACAAAATTATTAATTTATATTTAAAAAAAAAAGTAAACAATATCGATTAACGTAAAAACGTAAAGCTAGTAGTTGATGAACGCATGGTTTTTAGCTGAGTGAATTTAATAATTTATAGGCTTTGGCATCACCAGTACCGCTACTACTAGTATTGCAATAATCATTTTTAGTTTTGTCACCTGTATTGTTGACATTTACACTGTCGCCGAACTTTATGCGTGCAAATTGATTGAAATTTGTTTTGATACCGTTGCGACCAAACAAATTCTGTGACGATGGCGGCGACGGCATTATGATGGCCGTTGATTCATTCTCGATTTGCGACTGTGATTCCGTATTATTGCAATGAGTGTGCGACGCAAGGTCATTTGCTGGATTGGTGGCGGGCGATTTTGATGGAAGTAATGTACTTAAAAATGAAAATGATGGTTGATGTGATGCTTTTGACAGCAATGGCATTTTCAGTAGATGTGACGAATTTTTTGGAACTGCTTTACTTATATCTGGTATTGTACTGCTATTTTCGGCTCTAAAGTCGTCAAGAGAAATGAAATAAAGAAAGAAAACAACGCATATTTTTTGTTGTACATTTTTTTGATGGTGGGACCATTGGCCCGATTTTAAATTGTTTCTATAATTTAAGAGAGTTCAATCCAAGAGAGTCAAATTCATTTTACTTCCACTAGCGGACATTTTTAACTGCGATTTGATTCGCATTGATTTTCGAACGGAAGACTATTCATGAGCGATTCTCTCTTGCATTCAATATAAACACTAATGTTAATAAAATGCCAAGGTTTATAAAAACCAACCAAATCTAAATCGAACAACGAATTAATAGCATTTCCATAATGTTCATCGACACACCGATCTGATTAAAAAAAATTGCTTTGAAACAACAAACAACATTTAAACGATTCATTTGTTCGTATTCGTTTATGATTTGGTATATTTTTCCTGTGCATTGAGTAAATGTTATTAGCCAAACAATATACTCCAAATGGTTTTCCAAAAAAATTTGTCATTATAAACGTATACGTAGGTGTACCATGCAATCAAGTTTTTGTCGTTATTTTTTCCAACAAACACTTGAATCGAGCTCAACGTTAAATACGCTTTTCCGGTCATATTATCGTTTGGAATTTTCGTTTGCAAAATTTGCTTTATTCGATCTTTTTTTCGATTCGAAACAAAATTTCAATTTTCTTTTAAAGAATAAATTTTGAATGTTTGCCTAATTTCATTTATTTACCTATTCGGGTCGTCTCACCGCGAGTTCGAAGGAACGCTGGCACTAGCTGATGCACGGCTGATATTACGGTTTTCCATAAGAAAACTATTTGGATCTGCATCATCGTCATCATCAACACCAACGCTGAAATTCTCCTCTTCAGCACGCAATGGTGTTCGAACGTCGACCACCTCCAAAAGTTGATCTGAAAGAAGAAAGAAAAAACATTGAAATTCAGAAAAATTGAATTGAAATGAATGTGCGTCTCACACAGACGTTGCACTTACGTTGTGGTAGCTGAAGCAATTCCTGACCAGATGATGAGCCATAGAATGAAACATTTAGGAAATTTGGCTTTGCTTCATCTAATAACATTGTAATTATTTGTATAAATGTTGGTCGGGCAGACGGTCGGTGCTGCCAACATCGGCACATCAACGAGTATAGTCGTTCGGGGCAATTTTCTGGTCGCTCCATAACACCACCGTCGATAACATACCGTAATACTTGGTCATTTGATAAACCCTTAACGAGAAAAAAAAATGAAAATTTTAGATATATAAAATCCAAAAAAATGATCACAGTATTTGTTGTACATACTTGATATGGTTGTGAGGCTAATGTAGCCATTTCCCATAGTACAATACCAAAGCTGAATACATCGCTTGAACTTGAGAATACACCATCTTTTAAACTTTCTGGTGCCTGTTGAACGAATAATTGAACGTTAACAATATGAATGTTTAAAAATCAGTAATTTTGTGCAATGTATTTGATCCAAACAAAACTATTACCATCCATCGAACTGGAAGCAGCCCTTTGGTACCTTTTCGATAATAGTCTGTCTCGTAAATATCACGAGTCATACCAAAATCACCGATTTTCACCGTATAATCTTCGGCAACCATGCAATTTCGGGCGGCTAAATCTCGATGCACAAACTTTTTAGCAGACAAATAGGCCATGCCGTCAGCAATTTCGATGGCCATTTGTAAGATTTGCCGTAACGTTGGCGGTTGACCTTCATTTCCAGACTCCGGTAATCCGGACGAATCCGGCCGATGCGATCGTAGGAAACCTTTCAAATCACCATTAACCATCAATTCCATAATGACCAAAACCGGTTGACCACGCGATACAACACCCAACAATCGAACAACGTGATGTGTATCGAATGCTTTCATAACACCGGCCTCTTTCAGGAAATTGATGCGCTCACGATCGGTTGCATTTTCATTGACCGTTTTGATGGCACAACGTACACGCTCACCATTTCCTTGCGAACTTACTAGAACACCTTCATATACCATGCCAAATGAGCCTTGGCCCAATTCTTTCATTTGAATAATCTTATCACGTGGAATTTCCCATTCGTCTGGCGTGTATTGCATACTAACATACTCTGGATTCACTGACGCAATGATTTTAATACCTGAATCAGGCGGACCGTATCTGCGTCGATAAAACCAAGCCAATGCAACGATGCCACTCACAACAAGTAAAATCAACACCAAAATGAGAGCAATCATTCCTGGGGATAGGGCTGGCTCATCTACTTTGGCGTAAACGGGATGCGACCAACGGCCACTCGAACCGGCCAATGAATTTGCCAGAACAGTAAAGCTATAGTTGCCGTTTGCCAAGTCCGGTATTGTGTGCGATTTTGATTGATTATGATATAAGTTTTGCGGTATGCAATAGTCTACCGGTTTTCCATGCTCAATATCCATCCGTTGATATCGAATGTTATAGCTAACAATAATTCCATTTGGATTTTTTGGTTCATCCCATGACAAACGCACTCCGGTGCTATGATTTGATGCGGGCAACTTTTCAACACGTAAATTTGTAATATCATCGGCATCTTCAATTTTTCCGGTACGTTGATAAGCAATCATATCAGTGCCTGTAAAAATGTACATGCATGTAAATAACATTAAATTCATTTAGCTCATCGAATAAAATCATTACCGCAAGTGTCACCCTCTCCTTCGCGACACGCTTTCACCGTTATCGAATAGTACGAGTAATGTTTGAGTTTGTCCAGAGTCAATGAGAAAACCGATGCATTCACTTCTCTGTAGACATATATGTAATAGGTGCCGGTTGGATCCATTTTATCATTTGTTTCATCATTATTTGTTTTCGGATCCGCTGGATTTTTCGTATCCGGTGGAAAAATATTGCTATTAACCGGCGTTGAGTTCGTTGAACGTCTGTGTCGCCAACGAGTTTTGGATAAAGTTATAAGCTCATTTTCAATTGGATAACTTTGTCCAGATAGATCACGACGTTGTCGTATACTCTCTTGTCTAAAGGAGAAAAAAAAATCATGTCGTTAATTAATCTGGTCTAAATAATCAAATTTCTTTTGATAAACTCACCGAACATAGACAGTGTTGTGTAGTTCATCTTCAAATTGATTCAGTTGTTCGGTGTTTTCTTCAGCGTTCGAGAAATTGATGCGATCAGTTTTGCCTTCAGTGGCCTCACAACTACAACCCGACTCTGATATCGAATCTATATCTTTGGGTGGTTTATTTATTACTTCATTCGGCTTGGGAATTGGTATAGGGGCTTGATCGGGTCCCAGCGCTATAGCAGTTCGAAAAGAAAAATATGCATTTAGTTACATTTCACCAGAATGTCACTCAATATTTCGGTGATAAGATGTTTCTCTGTTACATACGTTCGTCACAGTAATTTCGATACTCTAAAAGTTGTGGATTATCTGGATTCATGGTGCATTTTATGATGTATTTTGTTAAATTGCCATTTGCATGTACTGGTGGGGCCCATTTGATCGAAATTTCAGAGCTACCATTTGCTGAGACAGCCAGTTTTGTAATAGCGTCTGGTTTATATGGTGCGGTTCGGAAGTATTGGATTGGCGACAGACCACCTTTTTGTTCGCTTGCAACTGTATACGTTCGAATGAAGTACGCATATTGTGTGAACGGCTTTAAATTTGGCGCAAGAATTGTAATTGGTGTTGAATTGCGATTACTATCAATAATATCATCTATTTGCCAACTGTCACCGCCGCAAGCATCACGTCCATCATACATAGTGACCTAAATAATTTAAGCAAATAAAAAATAAAACGATATTAGAAAGTCGAAATCATTTGGGATTGAGTAAATGTGTCTTACATTTTTGTATGGAGCTGGCATATAGTGCAGCAAATATCCAAGCAATTGTCGTTCATCATCATACGGGAGTGGTGTTAGTTCCATAACAACAGCACTATAGCTGATTGTTGTAATGCGAACATTCAATTCGGTGACATTACAAGCCGTTTTATCTCCATTTGAATTTGCGGCAACTTCATCGATTGGCAATATGGATACATTTCGTAATTCGGTGACATTGTCCTTAAACTCTTGGATAATGTTCATGCATAGTTTCGGATTGAAGTGGAAAAACATGCGTCCGCGTTCGACGGTAACATTTTGTGTGAAAAGTGCTTGAAGATTTTGATTTTCCAGTACTTTTAAGCCATATTTTAATTTACCGGTGATGTCGCCTTTGATAATTCTCAATTTTTTAAAAAATCCCAATGACAATATCGGATAAGAACGAACTATTGACAAAGGACCTTCAATCACTTCAATATCGGACAAAAATGTCTCCAATTCACGCACAACATTATCTAAAAAAAAAAAAATGAAAAGAGAAATTATAACATGCGAACATGCTCAAATGTTTGTACATGACACTTACGTCCGCCCGGATTTCGAATGCTCAGTGTAAATGGGCCGTTGATATGTGTGCAACCTTTGTACCGTTGTGCACTTGATATGCTTTCGATATTTGCTGGTGGACACTCTTTTTTACAGCTTCCAACGCATTGGGTGCATACTCGCTGTCCAGATAGACCATCGGGGTAAAAATTGCTTGGGCAATCGATTCGGCATATACCGTCATGTGGAATGTAGGGCAAGTCTAACAGATTGAAATCGTACTTTAAAAACACTGGCTTTTTAATGGCACGACATTCAGGTGCGGTCACACAACGCCGGGACTCGTGAGCATACATAGTGGCCGGACATTTTTCAACGCATTGACGACCCGATTTATCGACAATGCTTAGATAGCGACATGATAAACAGACGTTCACATCATCGTCTGAACAACCAAGACATGAATCATTACAACACTCTCCTTTTGCATTGCAAGTTGAATTTCCACATTTTGGATCACAAACTGAAATTAGAGATTGACAATACAATAAAACCGATTGAAAACAGAAAAAAAAACATTTTTTTTTACTTACAAGTCTGACACTCTTGACGACTCCAGCACAGTTTCTTTCCATTTGGTCCATCCGGGCAGACAAGCTCCGAATTGGTTTTCGATGGATCGCTAATAGTTTTATCGTTTTTATCAGTTTTACCAGGACATGTTGCGCATTCGTTTGTTGCTTTGTTATTTAAGAAGATATTTGATTTCCCTTCCAATGTTATCAACGACCAATCAACGGTTTCGACAAAACAAAGTACCGGATTCTTTGCAATTCGAACGTTACCCCGTGAAATTTTGACCAGAGATTTTAAACCAATTTCCTGTAATTCATTACAAAATTCTCGATTTAATCGATGAACCGAATGAAAAGTAAGAATATTGAATTGCCAATGAATTTTACCTGTAGATGCATCATTTCAAAGATGATGAATGCAGAATCATGTAATAATGTATTGCCACGGATAATACGTAGGTTTGGAAATAATTGGCTCAGTGATGTCAAACCATTAACACGATACAGTAATAAGAATTCGGTGATTTCAGTTAATTCCGGAAATGTGAGACCTTCATAATCGGTTTCGTTGTACTTATCGATAAGTGTGATCATCAGAAAGCCTTCAATAACACGACAGTTTTTCAATTGGTTGAAATTTCTCACCGAGTTTCGAATGTCTTTGCTGCTGCATACTATATTAAAGAAAAATTGAAACATTAATTTATTTGTTAATTTAAAAAAAAATCGTTGAAATATATGTGACTGTAACCAATTGAAAAATTATTCAATGAATCAGCGAATACTAAAAAATGGAATTTCATTCATGTTTTCGATTGTGATGTGTTTGTTACACAACATGAGCGTATGCATTTTAATGAAAATCGAAAATCATACCAAATTAGATGCGATCAAAAGTCGAGACAAGAGAGAAAGAAAGAGAGAATTAGAACTTAGAAGAAGAAAAAAAATCATTAGACATGACAGAAACGAGTCGTGTTAATGCATGTAATAGATATATATATATATATATTCATTGACGGGCATGGGTAACAAGCACCCGTGCGTACTCATACACCAAACATAATTTTCAAATCAAAGCACGTGGGCTGTGTGCGCTTAGCTTATGTGAATTCATTTTAATTGATTGGTTTTATGAGCAGAATTTCGATTAGATTGAACAATAAAGCTTGCGGCATTATGTGATTGACATAAAAAAATCATCAGCTAAAAATAGTCAATAAATCGACACAGAGTCAGATGGATTATTCACAATTTATATAGGCGTTGAATTAGTGGTGTTCAACAAATGTTCGGCATTCTCATAGATGTTTGACTTTGTACTCACCAGAGAATGTTGGCAGTGCGACATACACACATTTTTTTGACACATTCTATTTGGACTTTGTCAATTGCAGTTTGTACTTAAAATGATAACTTTTCAACCTTTTTAACGTCAAGACGGCTACAAAATTTTGATGTTTTTCGAAACATTCCAATAAAACCACAGCCATTATATTACAAAAAATAAATACGATGGAGCTCTAACTAATTGCATCTACTTTAAAATTATGGGTTTTGTGTGTGTTTCGTGTGTATAAGGAAATTGATTGTAATGTCATCGGCACTAATGCATTATGTCGATATTAATTTTATAGAAACAACTTAAACCCGCAGAACGTAGACAACATTCAAACACATGTAATTAAACTTTTCCAACATGAAATGAATTTTAGAACCGACTATATTCAACGTAAAATTGACGTCCATTTCGATGACGTAAATGCATTCAACTTGGGTATATTATTTATGGGTGAATCGATGGAAATGTGTCGCCAGCGCTTATTGATCGATCGAATGAAAGAAATAAAAAAAAAATATATCCAACAACAATATTTTCCTAGGTAGGTAGTGCATTTTGATTTGATTTGATTGAACTTCGTGCGATATATTGTTCTCATGGCCAATGGAATATGGCTTATTTCATATTCTCTCATTAACATCATTTAATCGATAGTAATGTAAAATAAAATTTCAATAATTGAATCATCACTTTATATCAATAATAGTGTCTACATTGATTCGAACTGAATTCCAAATCAAATGTTATTGTTATTGCTCGGGTTATCTGACCTTATGCCAATTATAAATTCAGTCTTTGTTTGTCTTCAGTGCATTGCTTTTGCTAAATTGAATTAGATTTAATTTAAGAAAATCAAATTTTATTTGCCACTTTTGAAGGGAGCGTGCTGTGTGTAGGCTGTAGGTGCTGATCGTAAAAAATGAGACAAACATAAAACAAAACGTCAAATCATATACGAACCGAACAGACTTCAACGAAATAGCCATAGCCATAAGATTGATTTATTTACAAGTCTAAATCAATTTGTCTTTGGCGACAAACATCGTTGAAAAGCGCAACGATCAAAGTGTCAACAAGGTTTTGCCGTACATATTTCGTATTTCACAAATTAAATGAGAGATGTGATTTTGAATGGCATCATGATCGCATATTTTATAAAAATGCATAACTAATAATCTTCACTGTCACTCCTCATTCAATTTGAGCGTGAATTTGTTTGATTCTGATCAATAGTAAAAAAAATCGTCAACAAACGTACCGAACGAAACATTAAAAACAGCAATGAAAAAAAAACTTCTTTCTTTCCCATCTGATGTTTTTCTACGTACACGATCGATTTGGGTCGGCATTTCTCTTCATTCGTTTTCTTAATAATGCTTTAACTTTTCGTTGACACGCAACAATATTTCACTCTGGTTCGCTTCGATTGATAAATTTATGCGGAAAATGGGATAGAAGTATATATATATATAATTTTCAAGAGATAATTTGAAACACGCGCTTTTGTCTGTATGTGCATAGATTCATCGCGTCTGCAGTCTTTTACACGCTGAATTACGACGGCATATGTATGAAGTGTAATCTGTGTGTGTGTGCGAGAAGATTTCCGATTAAAAATAGAAATAATGAACGAAAATAACATTTGGAGAGAGAACAACAACAAGAACGCTTCTATTTAAAAACCAAGAACAAAAATAGCAGCCAAAAAAATTTAGGTAATAAAAACATGGTCTGGTTGGAGTATTTTTTTTTCTCTTTGTGTTAATGTCGCTTTCTCTGGCTACATTGTCGTCTATAAGCGTTTAAATTCATTTCAGATATTCTAGCTAAATACAATTTTCCACTCTTTTTTTTCGTTCGCTTGCATTTCAGTTTTTATTTTGTAGTCGCTTTACGGTCTGCTTCCGAATCACTATTCTGATATTGTTTACATTACGAATCAGAAACGTGTTTTATCGCCGACAAATCTTAGACATTCTTTTTTCGGCCTTGCGGAAAATAACTAGCATTTTCAATTTTCCACTACTATTAATTCTTGTTTTCATACGCCAAACAACACATTCGTCGGTCTGTGGTGGTAGTAAATTGCTTTACTTGAAATAAAAAAAGTCAAAGATCAACACTATCTATTGCTACGCAAAATTTAACAGCAAGAAAATTCATGCTATCATACTATGTAAACTGAGCGCACAATAGCTCTTAAACCTCGTAGCTACTGTATAAACGAGGACATTGTTATCCGCTAGACTCGGCCCACGGTCTGAATCACGGCATCTAAATTTAATGATATGCATCATTCTCTTTTCTCTCTCTCTCTTCCTATCTCTTCCTCTATCAATGTGATTACAGTCCTTTTTTTGTTGCATTCGACTCCGCACAAAAACTGCAAACGAACGGAAAAGATAAAACCCATAAGAAGAAAAGAACCATGAAAAACGGGTCGCAGCTGGAACATATTTTCATTCCATTCGGTTTAATTGCTGCGAGAAAATTTCAAGTCATTGACATGCCAAACGGTCAAATTTTCTCACTTTCTTTCGTAATCTATGACGAAATGTTCAGTGAAAAATTCTTGAATTTTAAAACAAACAATAAATAAGCACCACGTGAAACCCATTCAAGAGATACAGGCAAACTATCGAATCTCGTTGAAATAACGTATCACGAAGATGTGATTAATTGTGAACCGGATCAGAGAAGAAAAAAAACGTAACCCCAAACATTTTCTCCTCCGTTTAACATACTACAAATAAAATGTGTTTTTGTGTGTGCATATCTCTCGCTCTTTTTTTTTGTTTTTGTTTTGTTTTGTTGGGGATTTAAACGTTTGAGTTAAATTATTTTTGGACGGAAAAGCGTTTTCATATATAAATACAACTTTCGTTGTTGTTTCTTTTTTGTTTCAATTTGATTTGATTGAGCAATTTCTCGGTTCGTGATGCCATATTCATTTCCGGTACGTAGATTTGGTGAGCATTACGATCGATGAAAATTTGCAAATCGTAAAAGCAGAAAAAGAATTTTAGAGAAAGAAAAAACTTGTGTGGATACAACCTATTATCAAATTGCAAAAAAACCATAGATCAGAATTGATTGGTTGATAAGTAAGGTGATAAAATTGACAATATCATGTTTAAGTGGTGATATTTTTCCCGTTCCATCGGCCATCTCAAGAGACATAATCATTTCTGCAGAGTTTTGTTTGGCTAGACGACTAGATGGGTCAGGCGGTACTGTGATACAGGCTCCTTTGACCTTTTCAATTGTATCGAAACTCAATCAATGTGACACGTTTTATGCTATAGTTTGTAGCTATTTCCGGAGTTTAAGGCGTGCTAATGTCACTTTCTGTCTGCTGCTTGTCATTCAATCACGGATCAAACACAACTTTCTATGTCATTTGAAAAGCAGAACGAAACACACAAAAAATCAAATTCCAATAGATTCCACAATTGAAATGTCTAAATATAGAGTTGCGCCTGACACAAATGGTAATTTATTTGTATTGGTTTTTTTTTATCATCATCATCTTAAAGTCATCATTTCCATCGCATTTGGAAATAAATGTTTTTTAAATACTTGATGTTGGAATAAATCGCCAAACAAAATGGTTGAAATTGAATTCGGGCGCGCCATTTGAAATTCAAGAGGAGAAAAATAACGACACAGAGAGCGTAAAAAAGAGAGAGAGAGAAGTTCTCTCAGAGAACACAGAACTGGTGTATGTGTTTATAAAAAAAAATGTTAAACGTTTGCGGTCGAGTCAAAGCCACAGATTCTAATCGATAATGTGATTGTTGAGTGAATACTTCAAGTGACAAGTTATGCGATAAAAACAAATGTGAAAAACAAAACCAGGCCGACCAAAGCGTAACATGTGTAAATAAAAAAAGATATAGATAATATAGGCGACATGTATTGACTATTGACAAACCGTCACTCCAATTAGCAGCGATCAATGGTTGTTTTTTTTCTTTCACTTGAGCTATGTAACGAACAAAAAAATAATGTCGAACACACCGAACCATACATTTATATTTATCAAGTGTATGCATGTGTGCTGTGAGTACAAATATTTGAAAAATTTCAAATATTTTGGCGCTTGTCACATCGTTTCTATTTTTTTTTTTTTTTTTGTAGTCGTTGATCTATTGACTTTTTTATTTGTTTCGCTTTTTGAATTGTTTCTCCCTTCTGCACCGCTATTGAAAATTTTCTCCGTTTATTTGTTTATTGTTGTTGTTGTTGTTTTTTTTTCTATCTTTGGTCATAAAACTATTCATCGCTTTTCTCCGAATCGAAATTAAATGCTTACAACACTTTAAATGATTTGGAATATTTTCTGTTTGTAGATTCAATGAGATGAACTGTACATATGAATAGATAATAGTTTTTTCTTCAGAAAGCCAGTGATGAGCGGGCACAAATAGTAAATATTTTGATATAATCTTGTTCTTTGATAAAAAAAAAACTAAACGAGCACATCATATAAGCACATCGTTTCTTTTTTTAATCGCAGCTTTGATATTTGCTTAATATAACTCGATTATTTGACTCGTTTTCCTTTCCAAACGGGCTAATTTATATTTCATTTTGAATGAGAAAAATGTGCTAATGTTTGTAAGAGATGGAGAGAAAGATATCCAATTTTCAACGTTGGCACGAGATTGATGCATTCAAATCGAACTTAAAATATGCCAGTGATGGATATCAAACCTCAAAATTCCACCAAAGACAGAGCGACACAAAAGAAAGAGAGAGAGAGAGAGAGAGAGAGAGCGAGAGAGAGAGAGAGGGAAAGAGATCAATACTGGACCAAGAGATAACAAGATGAAAAAATTAGTCTTCAGGTGCTCAAATAAACGTAAAATATCGATGAAAATCAAATAGGCCCTTCGAAGTAATTCTCATTTGCTGGATCTGTATGGAATTTGCTTATTTTGCATATCATCCGAAATCAATCGATTGAGATTGTTCAATGCTTTATTTCATCGATTGACTGCGAGAGAATGAATGAGATAAAAATAGTCGCAACTTTGATATTAATTAATTTCTGAACGAAACTTGTTTTCCAAAATACTTGTTTCTGCTTAACAAGCTTTTAAATACTAGCATACATAACTGTATGACGAATAGTTTGGATCGTACGAAAGGCACATCGAATTATACATTTGCAAATTAAAATTGGCTTGTTCAAGCTAATTTCTCAGAAGCTTTACTGAATCGATCGAATTGCCTGAAATAATATAAACTTCAAATTCATCGATTCTCCGAAATAACGATGAATAATCAATACAAAAGGCATCGAATTTGGAATTTGCTCATATCAACATGGTGCTCATGGTGACATTTACAGCGGATACATGCATATATATTTCTGGCAAAAGAAATCAAATCCTGAAGAAGCACACAAAATAATTGTGGTGGATTCTGGCCCAGAAATTCTGGCAAATTGGAATTACGTCATACACATCTATGACGATAATTCATCTCTTAAATTAATAGCACAATACACTGTGACAATGATAGCCAAGTATGATAGATAAATACAAATATTTCATTGTTCATTATTGCATGCGCCTGAAAAATCGATTAAAATAGCTCGAACATGAGCATTTCAACACTGCATCATATCATCAGCCAGTCTGTAAAATGACAATATTTTTTTTTCACACAAAAATCTACAATGTTACGCTTACGCGTGATGATTAATCTCTTACTCAATCGGTTTCAATGAATTCTGGTTGATAAGTTCTCTCTTTAATTTGGTTCACACGTACAAAATATATACGCATACAAAGCTATCATTCATATATTGTTTACTTTCTTCGTTTTTCCAGAATTTTATCAGAAACGAACCGAATTCCAAAATAACAATGACAACAACAACAAGCTCGCGCCTGGAAAATATGAATGAATATGGTTTTTTTTTATCTCGTTCCCACTGTGCAGTGTGGCGGAACCTCGTTTTACTCATCATGTGAACGCTGAATGCTTTACAAATACTATATATATGAATGGATGAATGAATGGGAGAAAGAGTGAGAGTACCAAAAGGCCTACCGAATGTGAATGGTACAACATATCACACCATACACACCATACTCCAAAATAATATCGAACCACACACATTCAGTTGCGAGAGAGCTATGCGAGCATGTGTTTTCGATGATGATTTCGTCATCGGATTGACGATGTTGTTTTCGCACTAACATCTCACACACTCTTTTTATTGATGTGCGCCTCTGCCTACGGTGTATGTGTGCGTACATTTATGCTTTTTGTCATGATCTTTATGTTGATTTGTACTTTATATTTGAACTGTTTAAACGCCTTACTGTGGCCCAATTCTTCTATGTTTAATTTGAAATTACTCTCGTTTCTTTTTATTCATTTATTTCGAACGAAACACACATCAAATTTTATTCGGGATCATAAATTATATTCCAAATGCATTTGAATTGGTTTAATCGTTTGTCACAATATATGTCAAATCTATGACACAATGATATAAATTATATTTCGAATATGTGTGTTTTTTTTTGTCATGTTACTACTACTATTTTTTTGTGGTGGCAATAAAGTGTTTTTTTGTCGAAATTTGTGGTTTCATTGATGTTGGATTTGTTTACTCAACGATTGCTAATGAAACCAATGATCGTCGTAACTGTTTGAACGGAAATGCTGATATGAATTGTTTGCGTGTATATGAAACTACTAGTAGATGATAGACACCACAAATCACGATAAATGAACGGAGATAGAGAGCAAAAAAAAAATTCGAGTAAAAATCAAATCAAATTTTATAAATGGGACGAAATTAAACGTATCACAGAAAAAGCAAAAACATCAACAAAAAAAAACAGAGCAAAAAAGGGCTGAACGAGATTAAATCGAAGCACATACTTTCAAATTGCATACAACGTTCAAAGTTTAACGCATTCTAATTTACGATTCAAATTCATCAAAGTTTGCTGCTAACATCAAGACTTAGACACTGTTTTTTTTTAGTTTTCGATGAAATTTGCATATATATTGCTCGTTTAAATATCACGGCAAAAACAGGAAAACGTATTGCCTGTTTATGTCTTATTAACGTTACATCGTAAAATGTATGGCGAATATGGTCGACCCGTGTAAAAGCATAGCGCACAGGAAGTAATTACGTGATCAACTTGGTACGTCTTAGAAATACAAAATTAGAAACAAATATGAATCATATCGCCGTCATCTATCGCGTCGCATTTGTCGCATTCGGTTGCCACAGCAATCAAATAGGAATGAGCTTGCTTTTTCCATTTCTTCATCTAACATCGATGAATTCAAACACTATACACTGCAATCCAATGGAATGTTATATACTACTTTCAATTCGATGGAAATTTCTCTCTCTCTCTCTTTCCTTCTTTCTTACTCTCTTTGCATAGTGTTTAGTCATTGTTCGATGATTTTTCTGAATAAATATTGAATTGAATGCGGAAAATGTGAGTGAGAAAAACAAACAACCGATTAAAATAATAATGCTAACACAGAACCACAACAAAATAATGAAATGAAGCAATTGCTAATATATACAAAATATATACTTATTGACTTAACGATCGATAAACACATAAACATTTATTATTTATTAGAATAATTGGCCCGTTGGTTGAATTGAATATGTTCAGATTTCATTGGATGGCCGATCATTTTTATTCGTTTGAACGACGTTAAATTAAATTGATTTAATGCCATTTGGTAACGATGGAAAGAATGAAACGAACGGGAGCTGTGCTACCACACACACTTACAAAATATGTGTCACATTTTCAATGTTGTGAAAAATAAATATCTGAAAATATGGATCGGAATGCAATCATTCTGGAAATTCGAATTTCATTTTTTTTTTTTTTCGGTGTTATTGTTTGAATGACATTCGAAACCATATAAATGTGAAATATAGGCGAATATATACGGTCAATTGAAATGAAAAATGATACCATTCATGCGGTTAGCATTTGTTCGAAATATTTCCAAAAAAGAATTTATGTCATTGAATGTGTAATAGGTGCTCTCGCACCTGTTTATATACGCGTGATGTGAAGCCTCCTACTCATGCCCACCAATACGAAATTGTTGACAATCGAACATATATTCGTATACATTACGCTTGCGACGCAGATGACAGACACGAAAGTCGATAAAGGAATGCAATTTATTAACATAAACACTGTTCTTTAATAGGGATGACACCATCGATTAAACGCTGATCAATTTCAGATTTTAAATTGGAAATGAAAGGGAAAAATTGAAAAAAAAAAAACAACAACAACTAGAATAAAAAAAGAAGAAGAAGAAATACAGAACGGAAACAGTAATGTGTGATGTGCATCAGGTCTTGTATGTGTACATCGAAAAGGTGACGATGTCTTGGGCATTCATTCACAACCATTTAAACATGAAATAACAATACAAATAGTTACCAAGCAATGACAGTTTTCAACAATAATAAAAAAGAAGATATAAAAGGGAATAAAATGTGACAAGTTTCATGTAAGCTTATGCGAAAGGAAAACTTTATTTATGACACCGTCTGTCTATTTCATTTCATATCTGAGTAGATTTCAATCGAATGAGAAAAGAAAAACGACGACAGAGATCTACAACCTGCCATGCATCCACTTGGAATTTGACATAAATTTGTTTTTTTTTTTCAGCTTGTATTTATTTTTCATTTCAATCTATTGTTTTTAGCATATTCACACTACGATGGGCGGCATATACATATCATTGGATGCATTCTTTTGATGTGATAAGAAGCGAAAAACTCATAAATCAGAAAAATGCCGGCGCTACGAAAGCCTAAAAGTGCTGAAAAACGAAACCCATTCGTTTGTTCACTCGGTTTTTTTATTGCTTTATGGTACGTGCGTTATTTTTTTTCTTCTTCATATTCAATTTAAAATAGCATTAGGAATGGTAAGAACGAGGTAGAAAGGTATGTAAAGAAGTAAACTGTTGAATGGAAAGTCTCATATGTTTGTAATGGTGCACAGTTTCGGAATTAAAGGATCGCATGGTATCTGCTTGCTTTTTTCCGCGTTTTCTATTTTTTGCTAATTATAAATGTTCTCATGTCGTTTAAGACGCTTTAACTTTATCGAAATCCCATGAAATCGGATTAGCTGACATTCGACGTCACATTTATGTTAAATCTAAAATCTCTGATAAGATGAAATGGTATACTTACTTCCGGTTTCCGATGTTTCTGTCTGGATTGTGTTGTTGGTTTCGGCTAAGACCAATGCATTTCTAACACTGAACACCATGAATGTGATACATATTAAGAGCACGTGTGAAAAATTCATTGTAGACGATATTGCAAACGGCCATTGATGACTGACATGTTGTCTTCTTCGATGATTATTCAAATAATTACCACTAGGTTTTCTAATACTACAACTCGAATCAGACGAATCAATTTCATTCGCATTGACGCATCCACGTAAATTACTACAATTGGTAGCTGAACGATAAACATTTTCACTAAAACTAGATGGATTTTTTTCATTATGCACGTTTAAACTAAAACTATTCGGTCGGCCCAATGGTTTCGATGGTTGTGTTGAGCTTTCTGTACTGTCACTATCATCAATACAGCAACCGCACTGGCTGCACCGCAATGTTGACAATGGCATGCATGCCGAAGGCTTTGTTGTCGGATCATCTAACCATGAGTTTGGCTGCATTTCCTCGCTTAGCCCATGTCGATGAACATCAAAAGCACCATTTGATAATGATCTATTCACATCATTATTTATACCGTTCATTTTACTAGATTCCGCTATTAACATTGAAGCACCGTTTCGAATCGACAACTCAGCAATGTGGCTTGACTGCGTTTTGGTCATTGCATTTGTATTGCGTTGCAAAAGTTGATCGTTGTTGTGGTTGTTGCTATCATAGGCCATACGATTTATTAAATGCATTGCATCATTCTCACCGCAATGTTCATATTCGTTTTGTAGCAAATCGCGAATTTTGTTCAGTTTTTTACGTGCACTTGTGAATAGCGGCCAATTGGATTTCTGGATATTTATCGTGTCAATGTTTTTCCCATTTCCTTCTGGCTCTTGCCGTTTTTCTTGTCTATTCAAATGGTGTTTCGCACAATGTGTGCATAAGTTTGGAAGCATTTCGATTGTAAATATTTGCATCGCATTAAAATATCAGTCTGATTTATCTAATGAACGTCGCTAACATGATGTGAAGCGTTTCATTTTTTTAAAAATAGATAATGAACCTGCAAAAGAAAAAAAATGTTCAATTAATAAATTGTGTGATTTCGACTTGTTTTTATATCTATTTTGGATATTTCCATAAAAAAACAAAAACAGTTTCCAATGTGAGGTTTGAATCCAACGCAGTTTCTTAAAAATATCTCTTCGCCTTAAAATACTTGTTTTTAATTTGGAAATAGATTTCTGATAAACTAAGGACATGGCACAGTGTATCCCCCCTTAAATCGTTCGAGGTTATTCCTCCTACCCTGCAATCGAGTATTTCCTTGAACTATTAATTCGATTCGTGGGCGAGGTGGGTAGAGATCTTTGGATTTGCTATTTGGATTATTTTCACAGCCAACACAAAATCTATTCTAGCGTCTGCAAATAATAATCTTGTTTACCATTTCGAAAGAAATTGATTGATAGTAGGTAGTATTTTTCGATTATTATAAGAAAAACAATTTGCTAATTGAATATTTCATGTACTTGTTGAATTTGTCGCCTAAAATGTTGCAGCATTATGAATGAATGAACTTATTTGTGAATAGAAAATTCTTCAAATTCCATTTGGAAACCACTAAATAGTGTTTGTGTTTGTTAGCAAAATATGGTCCAAAAGATAAAATATAAAAAAACAAACGAATAAGAAAGAATTTTTCTTCATTCCATTAGATTTGAAATTGGACCATGTGTACATTTGGAATTCAATACGACAAGCTCATTGTACCGTACGGCATTCACGTGCACGATAAAAATCGGATTTAAATAGTTTTGTGTACGCAGCAGAAAATTGGGTGGTCTGTTCTCGATACCACTGGCCACTTGACTCTCACATTTTAAATTCTATTCTATTCGAAATTTATTTCGACACAAAAATATTGCTGCTTTGCTATTGCGCTGTCCGAGCATTGTTTATGCATTGCTTTATTTCGAAATACAAACTTGTGTAAGTGTGTGTGTGGCATGGAATAGTTTCTTTAATTAAAGCGACAAGTGAATAAAAAAAAACCGTGTTAAAACATCGTTTCCATGGAAAATAGATAGGAAAAATTGATGATGAATTCAGAAGAATTTCAGAAAAAAAAAATTATCTTCTGCATTTTTCCGTGGCTAGTTATTTGTTTACTTGAATTAAACTCAATTTTATTTTTCAAAAGAAGAATAACGAGCGCACGCCCAAAAGCAATGAGATTGTTTGCATTCTTATGCTGTATCTTTATGGAAAATAAAATACCAATGATATTCAAATAAATAAGCGTGTAACTTGTTTTCATTTCTATAGCTTCCTCTACTTCTTATTCTTATTATTGGCGTTGTCATTCAACTGAGTTGTTGGGTTTTGTTCTCACTTTTCTCTCTTCCCATTTTTTTATTTCCTCATATTTACTCGTTTAATTAATATCTCGCACTGATGTTTACACATTACACTTGGCATTACGACAATGCATACCAAAATGGAAAATTCTTGAATATTGTCAAAGTGTAAGATGTACACGTGTTTATGTCATTGGTCCACATAAAGTGGATGTTATCTCGAAATAAAGTGTATATAAACACGCACCATTAAAACGGAATATTATACATTTTAAAAGTTTTGTTAAGTGAAGAAAACGGACAAACTACGCAATTATTGGTACTTTGGGAGTGCAGTGAAATGGTATGTTTTAATGTCGATTTCCTTGAATAAGTGATTCAAAATAACATAAATATACGACAACTGGCATTGCATATATGCATTGACATGTCGAATAAAAATCCATCGCAATAAATATTGTCTATTAAATGTAGACGAAAATAATGCTGTCTGCTTCTTAAACGACTTCCAAGAAATTTAACAGAGAATATATTTTCTAGAATGGCATTTTACGGGATTATCTTAATGCGTTTTGGATGAAATACGCAAAAAAATAAACACATAATGAGTCAATTCACTGCGTCAAAATCGAAACGTTTATCTCATTTGATTGGATTTAATACGCGATAAAAAAAAATATTACACAAACAACAATTCGGATTGCGAACCGAAATACCTCTATTAGCACGCAACATTGTTGCTCAATTAAATGGTTTTTCGTGTGGTCATAATTAGTGAGTGCATTATACATTCCAATATATTAACGTGCAACTTAAAAATAAAGCTTGATAAATGACAAACATGATAAAAATGTTTACCAACTAAATAAAATAAAAGTTGGGAGAAAAGTTCACATGGAAAAAAGAATCTCTTTTAACGAATGGCGCTTCAGATTATTTATAAATGTAACGTGCCGGCAATGATTGTAAGTGGGCTAGATGATCAGTGTCTAGCATTGCGACACGTATATTTCATACTATGCAGCGTGTACTCAAACTTTGGACACTCGTACTCATACGTTCATTCTCACACTCTCAGGATTGCAAAATGAATTCGAGTGTTAAGCTGACACAACACACTGTCTGATAACACATTTCCTTTCATAAATCACCACAATTCATGAAAAAAACTGTGTGTGAGCGAGATTTTTTTTTTTTGGTTATGAATTTTTCATTGCGCGTTTTTCAGCTTATCACTTATGTCGGAACTACGTAGTAAATGACAGAAAAATATACTGTCTTGAAAGTGCAATGTTCGTACACACTCACTGTGTAAAATCCACAAATAATTGATTCATCCATTCGGATAAACGGTACTCGACATTCGTTACACACACAGACACACAAGACTCAAGTCAAATTCATTCATAAAAATAAAATCAATGTGATTGCTGTTTTGTTGCCGTTGTTTGGCGCATTTTTTCCCGTTCTTTATCTAGTTTCAACTAGATCATCGTCGTTACGTTATTTTAGCATTCGTTAAATGAACTCATTGAATTTTGCATGCATGATGATTCGCAATAAGTGTATGGTAGCACTGAATAAATGACAAAAAACAAACCTACGAGTAATTATAGACGCTCTTGTATTTGAGCTAAGAGAGAGCGAGAGAGGGAATGAGAGAAGGAACCCGAAGATTGAAAATTAAAGTTCTAGAGGAAACCAGAAAGGCGGAACGATGCATCGAACGTTGTTTGCGCTTTGATGGGCAGTTTGAAAATACATGAAGAGCAAAAAAAAAATATCATCAAGAAAGAAACGTAGACGACGACGAAATCAAGATTCAAAAATAACAGAAGCAACCGCATCGATAAACCCAAAAATATCACACGCGCTCACAAGCCGCCAAAACAAAATAAAAAAATAAAATAAAGAAATACGAACAAAAGCCGAAACAGACAAATAAAGTGAAGACGACGAGAAAAAAAAAAGTATATGGAAGTAAAATATATGTATAATGACAACGAACGATATGCATTTGTTAGCAAGGCATACTTTGAAATTTTTCGTACTAATCGCCCTTCGACTATACAAAACTAAAAATGAATTGTTTTTCGATGAAGGATCGAGTGAACGAACTAGCGAGCGAGTGAACGATACGAATGTAAAGACGGCTCACTTTTCGAATCGTGTCCCTTGACTTGAATGAAAAACCCAAGAATTTGCTGCGTATGCGTCTTCAACTCGCGAAATTCAATTGAATCAATTTCAACGAAAATAAAGCGACAGAAAGCAATAACAACGCAAAAACATAAACAAAACATGAAATAAACACGACGGTAAAAGAGACGACTGCGAAACAAGAAAGAATACACAACAACAATAACAACAACAACAAAACGGTGAAAACAAACATACCAGACTCTAGACATTCGCCGGTGTGTGCCTTAGATTGCAAAAAAACACACATACACACACAAACCAGAGCTATTTGTACAAGCTGAGGTTCACCGAATGAATATTTCGCTAAAAAAAAAAAAAAATCTTTGGTCTGAAATTGAACTGAAGGCAAATTCAATTGTCGTTTTGATTTGGCTCAAAATTTTCATTTGAAATGAATCGTTATTGTTTTGTTCTCACAATGGCATCACTAATCACGATTCGATTTGCATTATGAAAACCATGGGACGATTTGTCATCGCATTACACATTTATAATAATAGCAATAGTGTTGAGAATGCGGGCAAAAGAAAAAGAAATTTATCCGGAAATAGAGTGAGACTATAAGTCAGAGTTTTCACTCACATTTCGGATGAATGCAATCAACCTTATAGAAAATGGCAATAAAACCGAAGACGAACCGAAAGAGGAACGAATAGCGGCTTTTGTTGAGAGAGTGTTACGTTATAAATGCAAAGAAGGTATATACAAGCACATATATTGTGAAATATCCAATCACAAACGGTTGCAACATTCCAATTCTATCGGCATCGTTTCGTATCGATTGGATTCTGTGAGAAGAAAATGGCAAATATGGTGGAAAAAACGTGATGAAATTAAAAAGTTATAAAAAAACATAGCTCAAAACAACACGGTATAATTAAATGCGACCGGAATGTTTGGAATGTTTTACAAATACAAAAACATCTAAATACATTGGGCGACAGACGGCATGAAACGCGTGCAAAACAACCAGACTGAAGAATGAGCAAACCAAACGAACAAATAAATAACAATAACACAGAGAATGGCAAAATCGTTTCGTGTATGCACACAGACAGCGAGAAATGAATATATATATGTGTGTGTATTTGCAAAGCCCGCATTGTTGGTCACGAAACACGACGTGTGTTGGTCTTGCATTTTGTGAATTTGTGCAAGCGCGCAACCCAGAACGAATTGACGATGAACCAAATGAAGCACTATCTCTCTATATTCAGGCGACATTCATGGCTTTTGATGTATTTGTTGTGTGAGTGATTCTTCATTGTTTTTTCTCTCGCTTCATTCGAAATATCAAGCCAAATATAACGAAAAGTATGTTATTTTTTCGGTAAAATTATTCTGATTCTTCGGTTTTCTTATTTATTCTCGATTTTTCTTCTCTTAAGCATCGCAAAACATCAAAACAACGCGCATCCAATGCGAATCATTGCCTGAACAAAAAAAATCGAATCTTTCTCGCGATCGAAGTAAACTGAACAAGTCGATAATCACATAAAAT